GAAGCATCACGTCGAGCTGATACAGCCGCTGTCCTCGCTGCTGAAGAAGGACGTGACCTGGTCATGGCATTCGGGGCTCCAAGCGTTTTTTTATTCCGTCAAGAAGCGCTTGGCGGCGGTGCCGATCCAGATGCTTCCGGACGACACAAAGCCCTTCCACGTTGTGCGGGACGCGAGCGATATTTCCATCGGCTGCGTCCTCATCCATTAGATGATGAGGGCCGCGAACGCATTGTGAGGTATCAGCCACGTCAGATGAAGCTAGCGGAGAAGAATTATCGCGTTCATGACACAATCTTCTCGCGATGCGCTTCGATCGAATTAAGTTTAGAGTGTTTTTACTCGGAGAGCAAACGTTCGCCGTCTACACGGACCACGCGTCGCTAAATACGGCGATGAAGAGCCCGCATCTATTGCAGCTAGTGGCCCGCTGGCTGTCGCTCATCGCCGAATACAGCTTTGTGGTTCACTACCAGCCCAGCAAGAATAGCATCCTTGCTGACGCGTTGTCACGCCGTCCTGACTACGATCCAAGACGAGAGATTGGTCATCAGGCGATTTCTAGACGACGAAGATTGTGTTTGTTGTGTCGAGATGGGGGTTAGCGCGACGATCTCGAGCTTGCTTCCGTCCCTCCGCGACCAGATCGCCGACTTGTACAATGGAGACCACCGACTACGTTTTCGAAGGTGATGCAGGCCTTACCCGACCGTGTCATGTATTAGAGCTCAGTCGGCTCGACGCGAGCTTTGAGATCACTTCGTTTGCCATAGTGAGGAGTCGGACCTTTACAGCATCAGCTGATAACCCACTCGTTCCTGCCCCCACAGCAAATAGGTCCACATCGGAGTTTACCTTCCGCCAGTTTTGATTCAACCATTTCCGGTCTTTGAACCATGCTTGCACCTTGGCCTTAGCAGCCCCACGTATTGTCTAGTATAAATAAAAGTTAGAGCAACCATAATATGGCAACCATATTAAAGCAACCATATGTGTAAAGCAACCTTACCCGCTGAATTCCCATAGTTTGGGATCGATAGAAGCCACGAGATCGAGGACAATTCCTTTTTTCTTGATACGGTCGTCGGGGGGGGGGGGGGGGTCAGGATTTCGTTGCTCAGACCTAGCTGTCTTGACGGCAGCTTGCATTGACCTCGTGATGTCTCCTGGGATTACAAATGGATATGTTGCTGGCCTCATAGCTTCCCAAATGCATTCGATTGTGCGATATCTGAGGTAACCTAAGACATCCTCTAGATAGATAGGATATTTGTCCATCATGTCCGCTACATGTCTTAGGTTCTCTGTGCTGCGTGCCCACACGACAAACTCGTCAAGCTGTACGGTGAGATCGCTAGAGTATATGTGCACGGCGAGACGGGTTCCACCAGAGAAAAGCTTTGTTTGCCTGAGCTGGTTCGTTCTCGTACGTGGTTGTCCACGCCGCTTCGGCTTTGGAACGTTTAACATATCAACACGTCGATCAGGTATTGATGAATCGGAAGCTGTAGACACCGCCATTTCGTCATCTTTACTTTCAACTTTTGCAGCAATTGGTGTGGTTTTCACGGGTGGCTGCTGCTGCTTGTCAACAAGAGCTCGCGCCTGCGACACTTGTTGTATTTGTGCTGAAGCGGGTGCCGTATTCTGCGTTGGTGGTAGTTCATCGCTGTCTGTGCTACCATCTTTGACATCTTCGCTATTTTTCATTGCATCCATTAGGCTAGCGGTCGCCATTGCAACTTCCAAATCTAAGAATGAGTCCATGTCCGCATCCGGATCCTCACATTCTTTCGTCTCTCCCGTCGCTGCTTTCCTACCATTTAGCCCCGCATCGACTGTTTCTTTCCACGCCTGGAGCTCCTAGTAAACCTCCGCACTGGACAACTCGGAAAGATGCGCCGTAGTGGCTCGAGCATCGCCTTTGCGTACGAATACTTTTCAGCAGACGTCAACACGACTTGCTTAGCGCGTTCACTCCGGCGTAGTTGAGCAAATACAACTTCCTTTGCGAGCTTGCCACCACTCGAATCCTCACTGTCCTTCGGCAACCTTATTAGCTTCGGCGATTATAACTTCGACATGTTCACGATAGGCTGCAGCGCGTCAGCCACTGATGAGAGCTCTTTTGTAACTTCCAAGGCTTCGAAAGTACTCCACCTTTCGTGGACCGACATACCAGGCAGTACACGAAATATATGACCTTCACCTGCTACATGCATGAGGTGGCAGCATGGTAAGTGCTGGCTAGTGTAAAAGAGGCAGATACACGTCCAATCCACATCATCACAGTTGTAGATTTGCCATGAATAATAAACCTTCCGTTTCGAAACTGCCTCCTCCCGCTCGCAACGTGTCGACTGACCACGATTAACAAATGTCGCCCTTTCCTGTTCAGCTTTTCCAGCACAAACGACGTACTTCTTGAGTTTATCGTATCCGGTTTCGTAGCGATCCGGCGAGTGAATTTTAAGCAGAGAGCAATAAGCTCCCACCACATTTAAGCTTGCAATTTAACTTACCTATACAGAAGCTTGGTCACTAGCTCCAGAATCATTTCTCTGCGCAACCTTGAGCCCAAATACTTTTCGCTTCAGTACCTTTTCCCAGTAGGTGATAGCGTGGAATTGACACAGCAAAATTGCCCTCGACAAAATCTTTGTCGATCACCCCCCCCCCACACACACACACACACACACACGCACACAGTTTGGATTCTTGTCTTTGAAGTATTTCAGAATCGTTTTAATCGTGACGGTGTACTCGTTCAGGCAAATAAAGTCAACCACAGGAAAACCTCTACCCGTACATGTGACGGCCAATTGTGTCAGTGTAGACTTCTGTAACGTCTTAGTAACCGCCTCAACAGCTGTAAGGTTAGTCCGAAGCTTGGACATTAGCGGGTGAACTTTTGTGATCAGCTCGTCCTCCTCCTTTAGAAAATCCTTCACGGGCCAGATTAAATATGTGGCTAGCATAGCCGATCAAGGGAATAGCGCCTTCCTTGTTACCAACATACTGGTTCACCGAGCAGATATCTCCCACCATGAACCTACCCGAGTCCTAGGGCTTGTTGTTGCGAGTGAGTGTGTCTGCAATGAGGTCGAACTGACTCTGTGCGCTCAGATCTTCTTCAGATTCAACAGGAGAGAACGCCAAAAGTAGGAACCGGCGGAACGTGCGGTTGCATTGCAACATTGGCGTCCTTCACATCAGACTCCAAGTCGTTGAAATAGCCACTTGAGGTCCGAATACTGGTATTACCGGTATTACCAACTGTGTCGTACACCGCAATAGTTGCTGCATTGAGGCGGTTGCTACTAGTCCAGCCACCCAGTACGAGTCCAAACGAGTCAGGAAGCTCGTCCGCGACTCGGGCTCCGACAGCCTCGCTCACTAGCCTTACGTTCTTTGACAGAGTGTCCTCAGAGACTGTAGAGATAGAGAGCGGGATTCAGTCTCGTGAGGCGGTGCTCAACGAACTCGAACGGGAGCCGACCGAAGATAGCCCACTCCAGCCAGCGGTAGAGATCTCGAGCTCGCTGGCTGACGAGGCGTAGGTTTAGGTGCTTTTGGCGGCGTGCTGCTTCCTGGGCCTCTTGCTCGTAGTCGGTATGGTTGCGACCCAGATGATTAAGTAGGTTTGTGCAATCATTTCCCTTCTTAGGTCTTGCCACATGTCGTGCAGGTATGCATGTTGTTCAGCTGCGGTGAAAAGCACGGAGTAGATCTGACTACTTGTGAGAACCATTGCGGACCAATAAATTGGCTGAGAGCTTGGGGGTGGCTAGCTTAGAGCTTGGAAGAGAATTTGAGAATGACCTAAGTATTTAGAGTTGATAAGGAGCATACCCAACGAATGGTGGAGGGCTAAGTTGGTTGTAGGCTGTGAATTCATATATGAATAGGTGCAATTCAGCAATGAATTGAAGCTTAAAATTAATAATTTAAATTTGAATCATTTTTATGAGGATTATTTAGACCCATTCCAGTGGTGTCTTACCTCACCCTGTTTTGTCGAAAGGGGCAGAATCGGTTAATGACATTTCACTGAGCTTTTGCTAGTTGGGCAGATCGAGAGTGTAGTAGCTTGCATGGAACAAGGAGAGGAAATTGCGAACTGACTTGGGAAGTTGGTAGACGAAACCATAATACTCTCAGTGGAAATTAAACATCTAACCAGGCTTAGATTCAAAACAAAGCGGCGAGCTCGAGACGGCCGCGTTCTTGTCAGCTCTTATCGCTTTGCACACAAACATTGTGCTGCTTCCGTAGCAAAGTTTCAGCGTTTGTGTTGATCAACCAGCGAATCGGATTCTACTGCATTTACCTGTGGTGCTGGTAATCTTTCAAGAACGTGTGGGCGAGCCTTGATATGCTTTCCACATTGGCTGTGCCTCTGTAATTTCGTTACAAGAATAATTAACTTCAATAGACCTTCAAATTGCAATTGCTTCGCACCTTGCCCGCTTGCATGAGATCAATAGTTTCCTTTGGTGCTGGGGTGTAGTCGAGCGGCTGGAGCATGGCTGGTACTTCTCGTTTTGACTGTGGCAATGTCTTTTCGCTCTTCCACTTGGCTTTGGTGGTTGTTCCTGCCATTTTAGCTGACCTTTGCGACTCCCAATCAGCTTCAGTGGTTGCTACTCTCGTGTCAGTCTGTTGCGGACGTCTGCACCAACGACAGAGGCCTTCGATGGAAGCTACTTATCCGTTGGGTTGGGTTGGCCAGCCATGCCTTCCAGGTCTTATGCTCTTACCCGCAAAAACGTAAGTTCGAATACTGCTTTTATTAGAATTTAGAAATACGATTTAAACAGCACGCTGTCTCCAGTGGTACATATAAACTCCATGTTACCATAACAAAATTGTAGAGTGGCATCTGCTTACTGCAGAACACGTAGTCACCATAGCTTTTATCAATCTCTGGTTACAGTGCTACTTTGCCGGTTAGAGTATATCACTAACCCGACAATGTCATATTCTGTCCACTCTTTTTTCTACTCTTGACGTCTTCGCTTTGTGGGTGGATCGGGATCCCAAGCTTCCGTGTCTGCAGTATCATCATCCTTTTCTTCGCTAGAGGAGTCGCCGTCGCTGAACGAATCGTCTGAGGATACCGAATCTCTCGGCTCTGACGGAACTTCCGCAGCCTGCGTATCCTGAGTAGGAGGATCTTTTTCTTCGCTTTCCATTTGGTCTCCTCCAGACACAGCAGTTGTCGTCTTAACTGAAGGCTTTGGTTGGCGAATTGGTGCATTGCGTGCATGCTGCACAGTCATCTCGGTTGCTTTTCTGTTAAACAGCTCGCGATTGTGCTTAAAAGTGTCGGCCTATGGAGTTCATTGAAATACAAATTCATCAATCCAACAGAACATGGCACAATAGTCAAAGAACCGTCACAAATTCGTACGATCTCCGGCATCAGCCCGTCATCTGCATTCGGCTCCCCCATGAGCAGACGAATCGTCGTCAGCAGCGTACTAATATTGACCGATGGCAGCCAAGAACCCTGCTTAAACAGCAACAAAATCGTCACTGCCATTGTCCACAATAATATTGATGTGCTCCTCTCGCCTTGGGCTGCATCTTGAGTGTGTCGAGGCAAATTCTGCCTGCATCGTCGATGTTTGGATGGTAGATAGGCGTCACGAAGCGAACCTTCGGCGGCTCAAATGGGTACCTGTCCAGTTACGACAGAATTTCATCGTAAGAAGCAGGTAGGAGGTAATAGCTCAAGCGACAGCTGCCAACCGTTCTGGGATTTCGATCTCCAGCTGAAACACCCCCTTCTCATACGGAGACCCATCCGGACCAAGAATTTCTGTGCAGCATCACAACGTTAGCAAAAAATATGAATATTACCCTCAATGAATATTGACGTGTGGGAAATTGGCGTACGCGCTTCCAGGTGGTCGATCTGGTCGTCTTTTGGCCACGCGCTGACACCTGCAAAGCGCAATTTGGAGCGTAAGGAAATGAATACTACTTTAAAGACGCAAGATCAAGTATATATTATGGTGGCGAGACTCAGGATACGTACCGAATGGTGGGTCGCTCTCCAGCATTGCAATCTCCTTGCGCATGCGTCCTCGCATCGCCGCCGCCATATTTCTGCAACTTTTCGCTCTTACAAATACAAATAAAAACGATGAGTTTATATTTGAAGCAATTATTGTACTTATTATATCAATTCTCTGCGAAACGAAAATAGTTTTTATTTTCGTATCGCAGAGAATTTATTCAATAAGTTCAATAATTGCTCCTATGGATTAAATTCTTCTTGAAACGAAAATAGTTCTTATTTTCGGATCGAGCTAATTATTTTGCGATCTTCCAGCATGGACGACTTCGAACAGCTCCAATTCCTTGGCCGTGGCGGCTACGCCAGGTAAGCACTGTACACAGTCGCCATCGTGCTCAGTAGTATAATGGCTGCAGCTAAATGTTTCAGGGTACGATCTAGATTGACTACCACTTGAATGTCCAGTGTATTTCTCGTTCGACGTAGCAATTCGACCCAGCTCTTTGGTATAGTGCTGCAATTGCTACAATTCGAATGGCATATCGCGTGACGCATCATCACCATAATCGTTTTGCTTGTTTGGTGCAGCCATAAAAAGAATTCCAAGAGCAAAGATCGTCACAGAACAGCAGAAATTGCGTCTGGATGCGGAAAAGTCGATTCTGCTCAAAATCAAGAGCCCGTTCCTGTGTCGAGGCTTTCAGGTTTTTGAAACGACGGCCGAAGTGTCGATTTTGCAGGAATACATCGAAGGACGAGCGCTGTACGAGTGTATTTGGAAGTACAGAGACACCGGGAGGTTCCCGGAACACGTAGCCAAGTTTTTCGCGGTGCAACTGGTCTTGGCGCTGCGAGATCTGCACGCGCAAGGATACGTTCATCGAGATTTTAAGAGTGGAAATGTGTTGGTGGGGAAGAGTGGATTTGTCAAGGTAATAGACTTCGGGTTGTCCAGAAAGGTTGTCGCAGATGGAAAAGTCGACGACTACTCTGGACGAACACAGTCGGTGTGCGGCACTCACTACGTGATGGCGCCAGAAATGTTTTTCAAGGAGTCTTATGCCTTTGGTGTTGACTGGTGGTACGTGAAATGTAGATTGACCGATAACTGATGAGATCCTAAAGTTTATTTTCATTACTACAGGAGTCTGGGTGTCGTTATCTATGAAATGGTAGTTGGGCGGCCACCGTGGGAGTATCAGTGTCCGGCTGACAGCACAATGGAGCAGTATTTCACACGGATTACGTGTTCAGCGGAATCTCCATTCCAGACTTCGGACGGACAAGTTGAGACGCTTGCAAGATCATTGAGCCCTGATCTACATTCATTGATACGGTAATTCATCCATTGCTGCTGAAACTGCTTACACAATGCTATGTGTGTGGCGCTCACAATGCAAATATTAGTGCATTGCTACAGATTAATCCTCGAGAGCGGCTTGGGAAGAACGGGGCAGTCGAGGTACAGCTCAATATACTCTTGTATTACGTCTAAAGGGAAGCTCGTTGGTAACTTTATTGACTTGCAGGTGATGAATCATACGTGGTTCAATGACATCAACTGGGCGCTGCTCGAGTCGAAAGAGGGTGTCACGGATTCGATGGCAGTACCGTATGATTTCAACAAAGACTACAACCCAGCTCGAATTCGTACTTCTCCAGGCCAAGGTGGGGCTAGAGAGAGCTTGTCCAGTGCTGAGAGTATCGACCCGGAAGACGATGCCAAGTACTTTGCCGATTTTTAGACTTCAACAAGAAGCAGGTGTTTGATAAAGTCTAATACATTCCTTAAACGACGGATAGCAAAGCGCTGTAAAACCAGACTGAATGACTCGACCTACATCATTTGCCTGACAAACGACTGCTGGGACTCACGTTCTTCTAAAGCTTTGAGGTTTGTCGCCTTACGGTCGTCATTTACTGCCGTGATGTACTCGTCAATGAATTGAGCGATGCACGGGTGAAATTCGTACCGACCCCCGAAAAAGTCGACGTAGTTGGTGCCGTCGAACATGTAGCCGTCAGGAAGAGGATCCATTGCCTGTATCAAGACGCAGTCAGCAACATAAACAGCGACACATTCTATAAGTGTCACCCAATACGTACATGTTGTCGTTGGATCTCACGTTTCTCATCCAGAGTGATCGAAGCCTTCGATCGAATTTGGCTAGGTGAAGCCTCTGCATGAGCATAGCAGTTGAGAAGGTGATCACGTAACTTTTCAGCGTTCAGCCCTAGTCCAGTGATCTTCAACTCCAGCGACGGAAGACTTTCCGCCTTGTTACGAAGACGGTCCGCGTCAACCCAAAGCCGAGCAAAAGTGCCAGATGAACGGTATTCGTACACGCAACCGGGTTCGTCCTTGAATACGACTTGACCTTCTACACACCAGCACGATCGGGACTGTCCGTTTGAGAAAACGCCTTCCGCAAATGAAGTAGCAGCAGACGTCTGGCCATCCTGACGCACTTTTTCCACAGCAATTGCCTGCGCAATTCGGATTCCTTTGGTGGCTTTACTCTCCATCGGATCAATTCGATCCGTCGCCTTTGCCATTGCTGCAAACGGTGTCAGCGTCTTGGCGACCAGATACGAGAACTTTGACCAATCCATCCCAGGAACAATCTCAAATCGGTAGCTAACAGGAGCATGAGCAAGCTCCAGCTCGGCCACGTATCGAGTGAACACTGGAGCGGCGCTATTACTCGCAGTACTGTCCCAGTCTCGGAAGTGAGTGTTACGGTACTGCTTGTAATACGCACTTTCGAATCGATCTACAGCAAGTATGGGAGTGAGAGGTCCCTCGAATACATCGTGGGAAAGAACCATTACGTCAGCGAATGGATTCACTTGGTCCATGTGGAAGCGTAGGCGCTGGAGGATCACTGATGAAACATCGGAACTATTAGTCAGCACCGTGTGGGTCACAAACCCAGCCGTCATTTGGTCAAACACTTTGGGGAACGGTGCTTGAGTGGCCAGCGGATCAGGTAAGTACACGTTTGTCGCACTCACACAACTGATCACAGCGCCAATTTTGCTTGGAAGTGAGGCATTATCAAAAGCACGTCGCACTGCACAGACTACTGTGATCGGATCCAAGTATCCAACGATACTCAGCATGATTCGAGGAGGTAGACGCAGAGTTTTGGCGGTAGATTTGACTCTCTCCAGTTCTCGAGATAGTTTGTCAGCGACCACAAAGTATCCAGACGTCTCCATTTTCTGCTGCTGGGAAAGCTCCAAGTCCCGAAGATCGACATTAATATGGACCCAGTCGAAACTAGCGGACGCAATCTGGCACACTGACTGACTCAACGACTGCACACCGCTTCCTGGGATCCCCAGCATGATGGTAACCGGCACGATCAGTCTGCTGATATCCTCTGTATTTAATCTCGGAAGCGTGGTCACTGCATTTGGGTCTTTGGGGATAAAATGTTGTGGGAAGAACATCTCTACGGTGCGAGCGTCCTGACCCACAAATATTTGCTTCAGTACAAGCCGCTCGCACGTTGATTTCACGTGATTCGGTACGTCGAAGTTCGCGCCCTCGTGATCTCGAGGTGTGTCGCCTTCAAACGTTTCGCTCAAGTCACTCGTTCGGTAAATCGGAATGTTCAACGCGGCAGCGGTGTCTTTCCACGCCTCAAGAGCGCGAAAAATTTCATCCTGGAAGCGTGAACCGGACTGCATGGGGATGTAAATATCTTGGCAATCCAAAGTAAACGGAATGGCGTTCGATAGCTACAGAAGAGAATTGGTTTTAGCAGATGCACAAGCAACAGAACAGTTATGATGTTTACTACTTACCGGTGTCAACTGACTGTGCTCATCTGGCTTGAACTCCAACTTCAGCAGCACCAGTTCTTCATATGATGAGGGCAAGATAGTCAGGCTTTTGACACTTCGCTCAATTGACACGACGATCGGGTTGAAATTCGGACAGGAGAACACAAAGCCGCCAGAGAAAACTCTCCAGTTGCCATGGACGATTGGTAGAAATTCGCTGTTGAAGAGGAGAGTGGCCTTGGACGACATTGACACTTGAACATCCCGTGCCTCGTTGGCCTCGAAATCGGAGTCGATGGCCTTACCCAGACACACGGAGCGACTCTGTAGAATAAACTCAGACTGAAGTGCTCGCATCAACAAATCAATAGCGTCCGCCTCCTCTCCAGCTTGAATCCACGAGCGGAAGTTCGCAAAAGGTTTGGTAACGTGAAGAAATCGCTTAGTATCAAGCTCTGCCAGGCTACGAGAGTCTCGACCGTGAAACAAAAAGGTGTCTCCAATAACAAGCGAGCCCAGCGGAAGTGCTGGATCGGCACCACTGGGGATATCCGCTAATGTCATGGAGCAGTACAAGAGACACCAGTCTGTACAGTTTCAGCACAAGAGTAAGTAGGTGCCTCACACAAGAAAATATTTGCGTCCACGCACCTTCGGTGAGGGAGTCAACCTGCTGTCCTCGAGCATCCATGATTTCTGCAGTCAGACTGAGCTGGTCATCGATGAATTTAGTTGGGAACCTGTTTGATCCAAGTATTTGAGACTCGACTTTATCCGTTTGAACTATAGAATGGATAGCTTCAGCACGTGCATACTCGATACATCGATCAAGTGACGCTAGTTTGCCGTCCATGCACTCTCGAACGAGTTCGGATGTTCCCGTCTTGAAACTACGTACAAGCAGTGCGTACATCTCGATCAGCGTCTGTGTGTCCACCGCAGTCTTCCCGACGTGTGGGTTGGACTGAGCAAGAGAAGACACCAGCGCATCATCATCGACAACGCGATTGCAGACTTTTCCCGAGGACAAGAAGTAAGTGCGAGCGAATCGCACCCCCGTGAATGGGTCTTCAGCCTGTACGACCATGTGCGTCGCTGGAATGTCTTCCTTCACACCCGAATTCGCAAGAAACGCCTTGGGAGATGACGTTTCTGTCAGCGAGCTCGTCCTCACGCCAAATAGCACTTGACTACCTCTGCTCGGAGTAGTTTTCAAGCCACGAGCACTATACTGCATCGTTCCAAACTCGTAAAAGCTCAACAGGTCCTCGCCCAAATCACTCTCCGACTTGCGTACACCAGGCGATTCATGGTCTAGTTTCAGCAGGAACTCGTCAAAGTGATGAGCTATCAACACTTGGCTCTCCTGGACAACTCGCTTGGCACTAAACGTATCGAGTTGTGCCATAACGTGCATCATTTGTCGAGAAACATTCACCACTCGGTGGTTCATAGAGAGGAATCCTTTGCCACTGGATTCGCCACCTTCGAGTCCGTACGATTGAACCAACGGCCACTTTTCGGGCAGCATCGTGTCTTGCAGATTGATACCGTTCTGGTCCGTCCCAAAGGGCACCCCCACACAGTTGATACCCGTCATCATGCTCTTGAAGGCGCCAATTTTGCGCTCTTCCAGCTCATCTGGTTCCATCCCGTCATGAACAACATACTCCGTCACGTGCCGCCACTTGGAAATTACCGGCAGGATTTTCACGGCTGCGTCGCTCTCAGACGAGTAAAAGACGAACACTCGTTGTGTACAGATGAGTAGAACCACATCATCCAGACGTTCGTGTTCCTGCAGGATCACCTGCTCACCTAGGAGTTCTTGACCCGAATTACCGAGGAAAAGGTACTTTAGAGCTGCTTGAGACGCCTGTGAGTGGAAACTATCTACGCCTCCGATGATCAGAATGCCGTCGAGCTTGGGATCCGATGAGGAGCACAAACTCTGGATACGTTGCAAGCGATCAATGCTGTCGCTGCCCTTGAATTCAACCTTCTTCCAACTCATATCTTGGCCTGAGCTAGCAAAATCTACACTGATTTCCTGAGCAACGCTTGACAAGACAAAGATCCTTCTTCACCAGACCCAGGATCATTCCGAAACGTCGTCACGGGCAGAAAGCAAAATGACCCGCGTGACGCGACGCGACCCCCAAGCATCAATTTCTGCGGTGAATTTGCTCTATATATGTATACGTCGCAACGGTACAAGGCGTCAAATAATGCGCCGTTATCCCAGATCGATAACTTATCGATCTGAGTTGCTCTAGTCTGGGATGCTCGCGAATAGAATGGATAAGAACCGCAAACGCTACTATGTAGCTATCCGTTAATGAAAAAAAAAAGATCGGAGCAACTGATTAAAAGGCCACGAATAGGTCTGAAAAAAAAAAAAAAAAACTGGCCATCTCATCTCGCCGATTGGAAGAACCGCTTCTATTAATAGCAAATACTGAAAATAGTTGTGTGGCATCACGAGCTACCAAAGATCATTCGCAGATCGACCTGGTATCGAGCACTTCCAGAGCCAATCGGGCTTCGACTGCTACTGTACCTTTGCTTATCTAAGTTTAAAAGATGGCCCTGACAAACAATCGATCTACAACTGCAGTGCAGCCACTCCCACCCGATGCCCCTCGCTGCATTCCCGAGCCGAAATCAAAACTTGCCAATGAACTTGAAAATGACAACCAACCCCTGTTGAAAGCATCCAGCTCTGACAACCCAGCCGCCAAGAGTGAAATCGATGATGCGTCAGTTCCGGTCAAGCGCGTTGGTATGCTGAGCATGAAGCGAGCAAAAGGACTCGGATTCATTGTCTTTGCCGGATTAAACTTCAGCATTGCGTCGATCTGCATTAAGTACGCTAGCCACCGAGCGACATCGCACGAAACAGTCTTTTGGCGAATGATCATAGCGCTCGTGCTCAATTATGTGAGTCTTCCACATGTTCTCGTTTCTTAAGTATTATTGCTCAAATACGCGCACCATCATTGTGCAGGTATGGGCTCGATACAAGAAACGGAAGCTGGTTGTGGAGCCCAAGTATCGCGGCCTTCTGTTGTTCCGATGTATTGTGGGGACAATAGGCGTTAACATCCAGTTCTATGCAATGTCGAAGATGGTGCTGACTGACGCAACTGTGATCATCTTGACCAGTCCGATCTTTACTTTCTTTTTGGTGAGCACATACATCTCTTATGCGCTGAGGGTCATTTCAGCTGGTTCTAATAAGGTCATTGGCTCCTAGGGTGCTGCTTTTCTAGGGGAAAAGATCAACCAGATCGATCTTCTAGCAGGAATCACGTCTTTTCTTGGCGTCATGTTCGTGACAAGACCTGCATTCCTGTTTCCAGCCAATAATGTCACTAAGGAAGCACCACCGCTCGCGGTATATTGCGCTATTGGCGGTTCGATGACATCGGCAGTGGTCTACATCTTACTTCGACGACTGAGCAAGGTCGACCATCTCGTCGCTATCCACTACTTCTTCGTATTCGGAACAATTACCTCGATCATGACGCTGTTGATTCTGGGAGTAGTAAGTAATTTCTCTTCTGTCAGCATTGTTCTTGCAGACTGACTAACCTTGATTGATGAAACGCTATAGAAAATGACGGTTCCTCTAGAGTCGACATTTCTGTTCGCACTCTTCGGCAGCGGATTCTTTTCTTTTATCGGCCAGGTATTCATGACCAAGGGATTTCAGCTCGAACAAGCAGGAATCGCATCGGTGATGCGCTACTTCGACGTGGTCTTCGTCGTTGCCATGGATGTGCTGATTTTGGGCGAGAGCGTTAACGTTCTGAGCCTTCTTGGAGCTGGAATTATCATGGCTGGCGTTTCGATGATTGTTCTGCGCCGAGCCCGTGAGAAGCAATAGAATTTGGGAAAGAAAAATTGAACCGGAATGAATAAACTCCCATTTACTTGAAGGAAAGGTAGAAGAAAGCTGTTTTTTTTTTTCTAAGCGTAGAGCTCATCGTCTTAGCTTTACCAAAAAGAACTTTAATAGCAAGTGGGTTTGAAACAGGTTGGAGCGTAAGACTGCAACAGCGGAATATTCTCACGAATAGTACAGCAGCCAGATTGTCACGTTTTTCGGTTTCGTGTTTCTGTCGAAATATAATTTGATAGTTATGAGAATAATAATCAGCAACTGGCAAATTTCGAAGATGAGCTCGAGTGCCGATAAGATCGTTGAGAAGTCTGAAGGGGACGCTTTCCAGCGCCTCCGAAAGTAGTTGTGCACGCGTGACCTTGATAATAATAGAAGGAAAAATTCGGTGTTTGAACCGTTGGTGGGTTGAGTGGACACGATAAGAATCTGTCAAAATCCTTCGTCACTTGATTAAATATGTTCGACGTGCCTCTGCTGAAGTTGGTGCCAAGTGTATAAGACCACTTCTGAATTATCTGCCACTCGGTAACACTTCAGTCGAAGGTGCTCTTCGACAGTCGACGAAAACTTGATAAGTTGGTGCTCATGCTTCTTCGCAGTGGTGCACACGGACGGGCGATAGTGACCCCACTACCCCCACAGCTTAAGGGAAACGATGCGAGCCCTGCCAAGAAATCGCCCAAAAAGTCTGCAACCAAGGAGGATTGCGATACTATTCGAGATGATCTGCCGTTGCTGAAATCCGACAGCTCCCGTGAAGAAATCTCTAAAACCAATGAGAGTGAAATTGTCACCGTCGTCCTCCCGTCGACATCACGTGGTTTCTGGGGCCTGGAAAAAGTAGGAGGTCTGGGGTATATCATCGTCGCAGCGCTCACCTTCAGTATCGTCGCGGTGTGCGTGAAACGTGCCAGTCGCTACGCCAACTCCCACATCATCGTGCTTTGGCGCATGCTGATCGGACTGGCAATGAACTGTGTACGTTGTCACTGTTACTTTTGCTTTTCACAAACATTGCTGTACGTATTAATCGTGATTTAACTGTAGGTGTGGGTACACTTCAAGAAAACAAACCTGTTTGTCGGACGAAAAGATCGATTCGTTCTTTTCTTGCGCTGCTTGGTCGGGACGGTGGGGACCACACTGTCGTTCTACGCCATGTCGAACATGCCGCTAACTGACGCCATTGTGATCATTTTCACATCACCAATTTTCACCTTCTTTTTGGTACGCCGGCATGGCGACGTGGGTAGTGTACCCTAATGATTTCTTACTATCTTGTGTGTTTACTAAGGCGGCGGTCGTTCTCGGAGAAGCCATCGACTACGTGGATCTCATTGGTGGAGTCACCTCTTTTATTGGGGTGCTGTTCGTCACGAGGCCGGCAATTCTGTTCCCTTCGCAAGTTACAGGCAGCAGCGCACCATTACTCGCCATCGTCTGTGCTATGGGCTCGTCCCTATCGCAAGCCATTGTTTACATCGCGATGCGAAAGATGAAGGATCTCGATAATTTGCTGGTGACCCACTATTTCCTCATGTTCGGGTCTTTCTACGCGATATTTATTGTTTGGGTGCTCGGGGTGGTACGTTGAGCACTACGGACGAGCTGTAAGGAATTCTAATTTAGTTACTCCCTTTTTTTCGTATATGCAGAAACTGGAGCTACCGACGGAGCCAGGATTCCTATTCTCCATCTTCGGATGTGCCTTCTTCTCGTTGATAGGACAATGGTTCCTCACGAAAGGATTTCAGACCGTCAAGGCCGGGATCGCGTCCGTCATGCGCTACTTTGACGTGGTATTCGTCATGTGTCTGGACGCACTGGTGCTGGGTGAGACCGTGAACCTCTACAGCGTAATCGGGGCCGCCATCATTATAAGCGGCGCCTCCGTCATCGTCATGCGCCAAGCAGTCACCAAAAAGTGAACTGCCCACTTCAACTTGCACAAAGCCCATTCAAATCGTTTCCTCTTTACTAATTCATTATAACAGGCTATCAGGACAGCAAGTAATTGACAAAATGAAAGATCGAAACATTATTCAATTCAACAAAACAAACTCTTACAGGTGAAGAGTTCAGTTTTTTTTGCGTGTCTTATTGCAGGTGTCATGCAAAGCAAGCAGCTCAGTGCTCGTCTTGGTGAACCACACCTAGCGCACCCGTCATAATCGCCCCCTTCAGGCCCGCAGCTAAGTCGGGTCCCGTTGTCCGCGTGCGAGTGGAGGATGACGACGAGAGCGTGGCTTACGAGGCTCAGAGCGCCGTTGAGACGTGTCTGTCGCTCGCCAAACCTGTTACTCGATTTGGAGGCGTCGGGGCATGGCAATCGCCACGAACACTGGCACTAGGCTGCATTTCCTTCGCCGCCTTCAACCTCAGTCTCATGCGCGTATGTGTCAAGTACGCGAGTCGCCACGTGACGTCGCACGAAACAGTGTTATGGCGCTCCATTATAGCATGGCTGCTCAACTTGGTACTCGTCTACCGCAGGAACATCACATTAATGGTGGCGTCGAAGCACCGTAACGTGCTCTTCTGGCGCTGTTTCTTCGGTACTGCTGGAATCAGCTTCCAATTCTACGCAATGGCACAAATGGTATTGACAGACGCAGTGGTGCTGATCTTCACGAGTCCAATCGTAACCTTTATGCTGGTGAGAGCTTGGTGGTGGAAGAGTGTTCGAATGCTACGCTTACTACTAGTTATCTTTTTTTGCTATGGCACTACTGATAGGGTGCGTTGGTGCTGGGTGAAGCGATTGAGTACCTCAACTTCATCAGTTGCCTGGTGTCGTTTATTGGCGTGATGTTCGTCACCAGACCAGCGTTCTTGTTTGGTACAGACGAGTCTAAGGAAATGCCATCACTGGCGATTATTTGTGCACTCGGTGGCTCTGTGATGCAAGCTTCGTCGTATATCACGATGCGCCAGTTGAAAGAGCTGAACTACGTGGTCATTAACCACTACTTCCTGCTCTTTGGGCTGCTATACGCACTCGCGACGCTGTGGTATTTTGGTGTGGTAGGTAGCAAAGTCACCTCGGTTGCTGGATGTTAGATCAGTGAATAACGTTGGTGCTTGTTCTGTACCATCAGAGCTTTTCCCTGCCCGCCGAGATCAATCTCATAGTTGCGCTGCTCGGAAGCGGTCTGTTTGCCTTCGTTGGTCAAGTTTTCCTAACGATGGGCTTCCAGCAGTCCAACGCAGGTATTGCTTCGGTCATGCGCTACCTCGACGTCGTGTTCGTGCTGTTCTGGGACACGGTACTGCTCGGGGAGCACGTTAGCTTGCACAGCGTCATTGGAGCAACCATCATCATCGCTAGCGTTCGTTCATCGTCCTGCCGAAGAAACCGTGCACAAAAGCGAAGTCGAAGACCGTAGAATGACCACACAAGCATAGCTTAGCGTAGATATTCTTGTTCTGCTTAGTAATGACTCGATGTGGATTGGATTGTCAAAACACGGGGGAAGTTTGATACGCGACCGCTACAGCCGGACACGAGCTTGCCATGTTCTGCTGGTACAGTAACACGCCATTTGAGCCTCCTACATCCATTAAATTACATATACCTAGCACTACTGCCTCATTGATTGATACTGAACAGGACATCCACGAAGCACATTCGAGGCGTGCAACACGGGTCCGTTACAGCTTACACGATCGACTTGGGAGTCCATTGAGGATCTCGAGTACTGCCTGACACGGAACCATAGTTCGCGCCCCACTTATCAGTCCCGTCAGTCGGCGTAAAGATCGGATTCGAGCGAGGCGTCATCGACTGGCGCATTGTCAGCTTGTAGTCCGGGTATTCGTCCATCTGCAGCACGGGCACTCGCCACTTGGCCAAGACGTCAGGAGTCCACACAAAGATGAATACACCGATGCAGAATGCGGCGATGATGTGGCCGCAGAAAGCTGCCGGCACAGTGCACAAAGGTGCAGCTCCAGCGCCTGGAATGATTTTGGTCCAGAGCACGTAGACGTTGTACAGAGGCAGCAGTACACGCGCCACGAACCAAAACACGTACGTCGTGTAGAAGAAGAACTCGTGGGTCTTGGTCTTGCCGTAGCCCAGCTGCTCCATGAAGGTGGTGATGTTGAGCGGGATAACGGCGAACTCGACCATGAGGAAGAGTTGCAAGAGATACAGGTCCATACCGCAGCCAGCGTGCGTAGTGAAGATCAGATAAGGCAATCTATAGACAGCAAGAGCAGTAATTTATACTGAGGGGAAGTAGGAATATGCCTCCGGATGACGTACGCAGCCACAATGTGGTGGATGACAAAGACTCTCCAGAGTGGAACTTGCCACAGCACCAGCACAAACAGGTCGAACAGGAAGTAGCCACAAGCTGTAGCAAACATGAGTCGGCCGTCAGCAATAATGAACACAATATAAACTGTTTATTGCCTCGTACAGAAGGAGAAGAGTATGGTTGCCAGGTGCATAGGCGTCTCCTTGGTTGGTAGCAGGTCGTCGTCCCACTGCTGCTGCATGAAGCTGTAGGTCATTCCTGTTGCGATCACTAGCGCGTGGATCGTCGAGTTCACTCTATGAATGGGCAGCAACATGTTAGCAGCCTATCAAGTAGCGAGTAAACAGAGACGTCGTACCGCGAGCACCAGTCACCCTGTTCTGGGATAGAGAAGTCCCGATACACTTTGACGTAGCGGTCGGACAGGCGGTTGGCGATGTGGAAAACCAACGCGAAGAAGCACATGGAGCCTAGCAGCACGTGCATACTGTGCAGGGCATCCATCATGACTGCGGTCTATTGGCACCAAGCGCTTGGGGACTTCAGCGCGTGTTGGCGAATGGCAGCCTGTGCGTATCAGGATGCGGGAATTGAACCGGCTCGTTTCTACACTACATCTAAATTTTTACTTATCAAATTTAGAAGAGCTCAAAACTTTTGAGTCAAAAGTGTTTATTGTCCACTGCCCTTTCTATTGGCAGGGCACACTTGACAAGAGCGCAGAGCACTCTGTCGCGCTCATTATGTAGCGCTCTTAAAACTAGACCAATAACGGAGCTAGTTAATCCACCGGGATTCTAAAATCTTAATTTCCTTTTAAGAAAAAAAAATCAGTGGATAAAAAAGATTCGTTTTTTTACTATAACAGCGATTTGACTTTTTTTTAGAACGATGTTAGAGTCACACAATGGTTATGTGACTTCGTACTTAAGTGCGTATAAATGTCACCATATTCGGTTGTGTACCTACACAAAGCCACACAAAGAGAATAAAATACCGAATGTATTTCCAAAATTTCATCGTTTGTAGACATTATTGAGGGTGTGGACGTGGTTGCGCAATCGTCAAATGTCGTGCGAATGTCGAAGGAATACGATGAAGTCTGCGTGTTGCCAGATTGTACACATGACTTGTCATTTTTTCGCAAGTGAGTCCGTGAGTCCGATGTGGAAGTAAGGAAATCAACGTGAGTCCGTGAGTCCGATGTGGAAGTAATGAGATCAACGGAGGCCCTAATGACATTCTGATGTATAGCTTCATGTACCAGAAAGTGTTGAACATCGTAAAGAAACCCGGTTGATGCATGAACTGAATGAATTACGCAACTTTTGCAGTGTGCTAACGTATCTCCTAAACATGCAGTGACTTCAGTAGATATCTCATCCTGTAGTACCGAAGGAGTGCCTTCGATGGCGACTTCGGGAGAACGACGTCACGCACAATGCTCTCAAAAAACAGGAGAACAAGAGGTCTGCAATTGTGTCCATCTGTCTGCTTCTGCCACACTTCTCGTTTCCAATCCATTTTGGCTACTATCTCTGGAAAGATTTTCTTGACAATGTCTTCACACGTTTCAAGTTGCTTTGGCTTCTGCTGGGGGTCAAATACTGTGATCCGGTTTGGTGTGGACTTGAAGTCAAAGACTGCACCGCACCAAAGGTTTCTGTTGATATGAATTGGCAGCAACACATGCGTGTTGTGCTCTTGGAATGGATCGGAGCCGCTGATGACCTTCTCCTACGTTTCAGGGTCATCCGTACCGGTAACGCCTGGCGAAATAATACCAACGTGTGCATGCTCTTCTTGGATACGTGCTTCATGCAGTCGTCGTTCCGCCATAGGTCTTCTCTTAGCAGCAGAACGGATTCATTCGAGACCATTCCGAACGGTGTCAAGCGTGAGATTGGCAAGACAATCTGCTGCAGCGCTGTGGTAGCCTTGGTCTTATCTAGCTCAACATACTCATTGAGACCTTCTGGAATATCCAGTCTGTTTAGCGACGTAGCTGCCATCCACTCAATTGTATCAGACACTGCCTCCAAAGCCTTCATCGTGTGATGGTACTCCACCATTACTTGCACTTGGTCCTCGCTGATGACCCCGATCTTAGCGAGACGAACACCTACGGGTGACTTCGGATCTGGTAGTGCCTCTCTGTACGTTTCCAAAAAAATTCTGCATTTATGCGTGAATTGCTCGGTGAACACGAACTTGACGCTGCTCAGGGCCTCACTGGGGGCTACCATCTTCGCTATTACTTGTTTCCTGGGGCCCACCGTCTTTACCGATAATTTGGAGAGGAACTCGTATGTGGATTCGTAACTGTATGTCGACTTCAACACTCTGGCCACATTGCTTAGCGTGATAACCGGCGTCAACGTCCCTTGCACGAGCTGTTTGGCTTCCTTCAGAGAGCTCACCATTCGTTGCTTCTTCACTTGTCGCTTCTGGTTCTTTCGTATCTTGGGCTGACCGCGGCTTTTGGTGCTTTTCGAGACGAAGAATGAGCATTCCTCACTTGAACTGGAGCTGGGATGTCCGCTATCTGAAAGCGCTCTCTTTGCTGGAGGTGCTACTTGTTTTGTCTCGTCATAGCTCGAATGTGATAGCCCCACAATACTCCGCTCGTCCCGCATCTCAGATTGATCGGGGAAACCTTGCGCATCACTCGTCACTTCGTCGGAGTGACTGGCGCCTCCAGAGTGACTGTTGCTATCCGTCACCTCTATCGTGTGACCCGTGTGACTTGAACAAGGTGACACATCACGTGAGTGACTTGGTGATTGAGCCACCATAGGCCCACCGCGACCCAAAGTATCGTCAGGTTCCTCGAGGTCGCCCTCACGCTGTATCTCATCCTCATTGTTGTAGATAGCGTCGGCGATTGCAGTTGGAGGCTCACTGGTGTCACCGGAATTTGCTGCTCCACCGTCATGTATCTCAGAAATCTGCGAAAGAGGATCCAGTTGAGAGAGCCGATCTGGCCATACAGAAACGAAAGGTGCCTCTCCATCCGTTGCAATGGACTCAAAGCGCTTAAGACTTTCCAGCATCTGGATAAACACCATGATATCTGGGTGGATGTGCTTGACTGGAATGGGGCTTTTTCCACAAAGTAAACGCCAGTGTATAGCATGACGACAGGGAAGCAGCTCTGTCCTCATGAAAATACACGAACAGTGATACGTCTGTCAAGTCAGAATAACCATTCAATAAGTATTGATACCATTCAGCCATTGTGGACAAAACAATTCACGCACCCTATTATCAAGATGATACTTTCGACTCGTGTCAACTGCGGACACCATCTCGATCATGTAAGATTGTAGTTCGCGCGTTGTATACGTAGTCTTGCGATCATTAGCAACGCGATACTGCTTTTCCACCAGTTTGTAGGCGTGCTGACAAACTCTTTTGATAACTTGCATCAGCTCCAGCGTAACGCATGTGTCCAACGTCTGTCATTTTCTTCGCATACTCCATCTCCGCAATAGACTGCAAGAACTGCAGAGTATCCACGCACTCATCGAGCGCCATCGTAGACTTCAGCACGTCCTTCAAGTGGCCCCATGCCGCCTCCAACCTAAGTCGTTATACAAGTCAACAGTTAGCAATTAGAACTTGAGACAGCACAAAAACGCCTCAGTACCTGTTGTTTGTCGTGTTTCCCAAATGAGGGACGTCTACACGACCAAATTCACTCCACATGTGTCTGCAATTGTGCCAATTCTCGTGGAAGTACTTCAGAAATGGGTGTGTTGAGTCCTCTGGAATATCTTCTTCGAGTGTAATTTGCTTTCCATCAGCCACGTAGTACAGATATCTACGACTCGTTTCTTACTCAAGCTCCGTCTTGGCGTTCACCATCTTGTGAGCGGCGTCCTCAACCTTATCCCGATCTTCAATATTATACTCCCTCTTTGCCATTTCCCCCCGAAGATACTTCACCCCATGAAAGACACAGAGTAGAATTCTTGCTGCAGGAAAAGCCTCCTGCAGAAGCGCAATTTCTCCAAAGTCTTTGTCAACGATAATCCCTCGAACTTGGTCCCAGGTTGAGTTAAATGATTTGAGCGATTTCACTGCATCCCAAACAATCAGCACTTTCGTTCTCCATGAGTGCATGCTGCACGTATTGTTCCTGTACACAAGCAACCACAAAGAGGTACACAATTGTAGCAATGGCACACAACCACAGTAAAGTCACATAAAGGCACACAAATGTACACGGGCACAGTAGAGTCACACAAACCAACACAGAGGTACAATTAGAGTCACACAATCGACACAGCCACCAAGAGAGTACTTACATGGCCGAAGACATCGTGAATCATGAAACTGAAGAGCTTGTATCGAGCATCGTTGGTGTTGTGAGTGGCGTCCACCATCAACACCTGTGGGAACGCCTCAAAGAATCTTCGCATCTGGTGGGTTTGAAAAGTGATCGTCTGAGCTAGCTTCTCGTCATCCACATAAATGGTCGCCGTATTACCATTTCGAGAGCAGAAATCGCGCAAACCAGACTCCAGTCTTGCCTCGACGGTTGTAGCTCCACGCCGCGCCTCTTTCAGCTTCGCCACAAGATTGTGCACATCACGCAGGATAACATGCTTGCCTATTAGCCAGGCATTAGAACCAAAACAAGCATAATAACAAGGATACAATCATGTAGCGTACCAGTTTTCTTCCTCAGAAACTGCAGAATCAGCTTTTTCTTCGCCCCGGCAGCTTGAAGCTCATCCACGAAGTCAATCACGTCTTCGTCTGCAACGCGTCGATTTGAGGGGTGCTTTCCATAAGATCCTGAGCTTAGTGAGTGGTTGTGCGCTGTCTTCTAATGCACTTGAAAACCCTGAGCAGCATCCCAAATTACGACGACCGTCATCTGCGCTTGACATCCGGTAGACTTCTCGAAGTAGTTATGCCTCTTGCCCTTCGAACGGCTGGGCCTTGACCAACTATGCGTGCACACCAACTCTGGGTAGTACTTGTCGAAAGCGTCTGGTATAATGGTCTGCGGGGTGTCCTTACCACGGTCTCGGAGACCCGCGTTCCTCGCCGTGGCGCTTGTAGAGGTCCTCTTCTTGAATATCTGGTGGGTTTTGTGCTGATATGCGTCAAAATACTCGAAAAACGCACCCTCGTGCCCTATGAGTCGCAGTGCGTCGTACTCAAGTGATTGGCCCATTTCAAAACAATCGGTGTTTGCTTCTAATCTGTATCGCGGTTCAATGCGAATAAAGATGAAAAAACACCAGCCTAGTTAGACTCAGTTTCGGATTCTCCGTGGACCACGCGATCATCCCAAAATTTCCTGATGCGTTCTTATGCTAAGATGCCCGAGCTCAAGGATACTGTCGTCCATCCGCTTGATCCTCTCACCGCTAAGGAGGTGCAAAGTATGAAGCAAATTGACGGCGAGGCTGGGTACGAAGGCCTTAACTTTCGTTACTCGTATGTGATGCTACGTGAGCCCGACCACAAGACGCTGGGCTTCTGGAAGGCCGGTGACGACATTCCTCGTGAGATCGGGGTGCTCGGTATGGACAAGGCGAGCAACGTAGCGCGTGAGATGGTCGTGGATATCCCCGCCCACAAGGTCATTCATTCACAATTGTCAACTCACCCTAGGCTTCAACGGATGTGAAGGTCTCACACTGCACGATATTTCCTTCAGCTACCATGGAACTAAGCGTCCAATTCTTAACCGTGCTGTGATTTCCGAGATCGTCATACCCTATGGTGAGCCCCAGCCCACCTACGAGTGGCAGAACTACTTCGACGCCGGGGAATATCAGTTCGGCCGCTTAGTCAATTGCCTCGTGCTCGAATGCGATTGTCTCGGAAAGATCTAGTACCTTGATGTGACCGTCGTCAACGACTTCGGCGGCCTGTGCTGCTCAAAAATGCCATCTATATCCACGAAGAAGACGTTGGTACGCTCTGGCAGCACACAGATATTTACACAAACGAAGGCGCAGTGCGTCGGTAACGCCGTCTTGTCATCTCGCTCTTCATGACGGTCGGTAACAACGACTACGGCTTCTACTGGTACTTCTACTTGGATGGCAAGATTGAGCTTGAATGCAAGGCTACTGGCATTGTCTTCTCCTCTATGCGTCCCGAAGGAAGCCACGATTTCGCAACTGAGATGGTTCCACGTCTTGGAGCTCCGTGCCATCAGCAGCTCTTCTCAGCTCGACTCGACGTGGCCATTGATGGCAACAAGTACCACGTTAATGAACTTGAGGTGATGCGTCTACCGATCAGTCCCGACAACCCCGTGACGAATGCATTCAAGCGCGTGGCTACTCGTCTAGAGCGCGAGAGCGACGCTCAACGTGAAACCGATAACAAGCTTGGACGTGTCAGGTTGATCGCGTCCACTAAGATGACCAATCGTCTAGAAAACCCAACGGGTTATATACAGTACCCGGAAGGTGCTCCGTTGCTAGTGGCAGCCGACGAGAGCTCAATCGCTAAGCGCGCACAATACGCCAAGAAGCACTTGTGGGTCACTCAGTACGCTCGTGATGAAATGTGGGCTGCCGGCTACACGCCCAACCAGCACCCAGGATAATCTGGTCTTCCGGCGTACGCCAAGGCCAACCGTTCGGTTGATGGTGAGGACATCGTTGTCTGGCACACCTTCGACCTGACGCACTTCCCTCGCGCTGAGGACAGGCCGATCATGCCGGTGAACTACGCTGGGTTCGAATTCCAACCTGACGGCTTTTTCGACCGCAACCCGACGCCGAAGACCCGAGTTCTCGGCCATAAGCGGTTCAAGTTTAGTTTCAAGTGTTGTTTTGCACTTTCAGGTCAACGTTTTAATAAATTGCCTTCATCATGCTTCGTTTCTCTTATTAACTTCTACTCCAGGCGAGTTACAGCGACGTCAAGACCGCCATCAATTCTTAGCGACAACGCCATCCGATACGTGTAGTCGAAAGGATTTTTCGATGTCTTGAGGTTGTATCGACTTAGCAGCATGGCGAGCGTGATTTTGATCTCGGACATCGCAAACTTCATCCCCAAACACGCATGGGGTCCGCCGTAGAAGGCAGAAAACTTGAACGCAGACACTGCGAGTATTTTTCTTGTGACAGGGTCGATCCATCGTTCCGGTTTAAACTCCTCGGCATCTGGCCCCCAGACAGATTTCATCCTTCCCATCGTGTAATGAGGCATGTGAACAGAAGTGCCTTTAGCAAGAAATACTCCGTTCGACATCGTCACGTCTCGCATCGCCGTACGCCCACTGATCGGGGCAACAGGGAACAACCGCAGAGTTTCTTTGATCGCCGCCTCCAAGTACACAAGGCTGTGAGTGTCTTCGAGACTGGGCACTTGTTGTTTGCCATTTGTAAGATCCGGCAACTTTTGTTGAATCTCCAGTCGAACATTCTCTAAAACCTTTGGATATCGATTTATCATTACGATAAACCAGGACATCGCAGTCGCAGTGGTGTCTTGTCCTGCAGCAAGGAAACTCACAAGGAAATCTCGCAACTTCTTGGGGTGAAAGGGTGCATCCTTCCCATTATCAACTGCGTGTTGCTCCAGATACAGCGAAATGAGATCCATTCGACAATCAGAGTTATTGCGGGTAGCCTTCTCTTGAATAGAGCGTGCGATAAAACCATTAAGCATGCCATTGACCCGCTTCATATCAGTAGCAAACTGTCTTTCAGCCCCAACATCAAGACAACGACGTAGCTTCCAGCACCAACTCGGCTCCAAAATGCGCCCCACGATACGAGCAGAAGATCTCTGTAGTGCTTCCAGCATTGCAATGATTTCCAGTCTCTCCACCCCTTCCATCTCAATCCCAAAGCCGACTTTGCAGAAGATATCCATGGTGAACAAGTCCAGCATCCACTTCAGACTCGCATCGTTTTCCTGTTGAGCAGCGAGATCAAGACGCCTCATTAGCTCCTTGCACTTATCTGGAACTACCACATCCATGTTGTGCTGAATCATCTGCGATGAGAACAAGCGACTTGCAGTTTTACGCTGGTGATGCCACAGCGGGCCACTGATCGCGAAGACTCCTTGTCCAAGCACATCGGTCGCAGCCTCCATAAAGAGGGGATTCTTGCCAAATGCCTCATATTGGGTCTTCTGAACGTCCTCAAAGGCGTCAGGCGTGCACACGAACACAGTCGGAGCTTTACCGAGAATATGCATGCACCAGGGTTTGCCACCGTACTTGCGGCAATTGTCCAAAGCCCAGTCGTGGAAGCGACCAGAAAGCTGGACACGGGCCACAAGAAGCGTATTCCCCACGATAGGCAGGTAGCCAGGAGGTTTGGGCAGATGCATCACCGCCCGACTTTGAGCTGAAGGAATCGCCAGATACCCGAGGATGAACGCCAAACACACTACACCAACAATGGCAGGCGAGGGCCACAGTTCCTCTCCAGTACTAAAAAGCTTCATCCCGTTGTTTCCCGTACGCAGTGAAATCGCAAATGCTCCTTTGTTGTGCGAGCTGACACCCAAATCAGATAGTAGTTGAATCTTAATGAGACCGTTAGTCAAATCTTGAGAAATTGAAATTCTGTGGTCTGGATAACTCTTCCCAGTTTCTTAAACACTGTCCACAATTTGGGCTGCCTCCACGATGAAGCGTAGCATTTTTACATGTACAGTTTGTAATGTACTTCGCTAGTTGCAGACTTTGACACAACTCTCGCTCTCTATTTTGCTTTAAACCAGGAATCGTCAACGTTGGCATCCACTTCCAAGGCCACCGACAGCGGCTTCTGGAACGGATTCTCCATGAGGTGCACCACAAGTTTCATCGCTTCATCTACAGACTCTTCGGGACCTTCGACGATGATTTCGTCGTGAATTTGAGACACCATCCCCCACCCAAGCTCGCGTAACCTCGGGCTATGGTGCACTTGTAGCATTGCCTGCATCACGACGTCGGCAGCTGCTCCTTGGATAGGTGTGTTGATAGCAGCTCGTTCAGCATGACCTCTGGCCTTCTTCGATGTCATACTATCGTCTCTCAACATAGCGTCGGGGAGTCGACGATACCGTCCCAGCAATGTACGAGTGTAGCCAAACGTTCTAGCAGTCTCGATGGCTTTCTTTTGCCAGTCTCGCACCTCTCCTCGGTCAGAATACCATTTCTCCAGCGTATCTGCCGCTTCTTTACGAGAAACATTGAAGTCCTTGGCCAGACCAAACGCAGTCTTGCCATAAGCAATAGAGAAGTTGAGTACCTTAGCATTTTTACGCTCATCGCCGTACTTGTCCTTTAGAAGCGGAGCTGGAGGTTCCTTGCCAGTAGTATGATCCCATTCCAGAAGAGCTTCACCGTTTTCCACTGCCTTCGCCACGTATGGGTACATTCCCATGGCTGTGCGTGAGTGGAAGTCACCACCAGCCTTAAACGCTTCGATCATTGCTTTGCACTGCGTAATGTGCGCCATAAGCCGTAGCTCCAATTGCGAGTAATCGGCGACAATGAGCTTCTTGCCAGGCGGAGCTGTGAAAGCGTCTCGAATCTTGTAGCGATCTTTACCCATCGCCGGTTGGTTCTGCAGATTCGGCTTTCGTGATGACAAGCGACCTGTGTCTGTGTTGAGATTCAGAGAGCAGTGCACGCGACTGTTGCTGTCTGCCAGCTCCTGAAGAGGTAGAATGAAGTTGTTGAGCATGGTGTTGATACTGCTGATGTCGAAAAGCGCCTTCAGAGCAACACAAGCAGCAGCACCCTCCTCTTTATCCTCGAAATGACCATACGCGCGACCATACTGCGGGGGGTTAGCTTCTGGCTGCAACATCAACAAACCACCACAAAATCATTATCTGACCGGCATTCACCGCTCCCAAGTGTGCACTTACGTGTCCTGCGAGATCCTTCAGCACTTCTGCGCTGGCTGCAGGGAGTCCGCTAGCCGTGAAGTGTGTCGGCGGAATACCCAGACCTCGAATTGTGATATTGCGCTTCTTCTTTGCCTTCTGCTTGCCCTCTTCAATGAATCCTTCCGTATTTTCCACTTCAAACGAACGCTCAGCAGGCAACACCTGCTCCTTCTTCTTTTTATTAAAGTATGGCGCGAACAGCAACTGCTGCTTCTGCGCAGCGCTGTATAAATTAATACGTTCGCTCTCTTCACAATACCTCGACGCCCATTGCAGCACCAGCTTTTCCAGTCGCGCTCTGTCCTCCAACGCCTGCTTCTCGACACCTGCGAGATACTCCAGATCCACGTGCATCCCCCTCCGCTCGATATCCGTGAGACACTCTCCAAACGGGACAATATACTCACGATAGAATTCGTACATGGATCCGACTTGAGACTCGCCCCCATTTGGCTTTTCGAACCAGAACGTCTGGTCCAATTTGTCCTGCAGCACACGGTGCAAGAACCACGTGCTCTCTGCATCGTAGACACTGTATCTAATCCAGCGTTTCCTAAATTCGGGAAACCTCTGTAGCTCCTCAACTGTAGGCATGATCCTTTCCTTGCCTTTGGATCCGTCTTTCTTGAGCTTCGGAATCCCAAACAGCTCCTTCATAGGCTTCTTCCTTTGTAACAGTAAGTCTGCAGTAAGGGACTCTAGAGAATAGCCTCCATTCTGGAATCTAGCCGTGTTCCAGAGTCTAGCCATATGCATCGTGTCTCCTCCTAGCCCTTGAACGTTGATACCGTGATTAAACAGCACGTGACGGTCGAAGCTGTAGTTGTGCCACACTTTGAGATAGTTTTTACTCTCCAGGAACTCCTTAAAGAGCTGCAATGTGCCCTCCGCGCTGTCCAGATTGTCCACCCAGACATAAGGACCATTACCATAGTCCACATCAGGTCCACTGTAAAGCGATAGACACGTAACCACGCCGTTACCTACAGGTCCCACTGCCTTGACGTCAATCTGTGCCACTTCCGTGTCACACGCGTGAAAATGGTTGGGGCCCAGCTCTTCGAGCTTTTGTAATACACGTCGGGCGCCTTCCTCATCCTGAATGAGGTTCACTGGTCGTGTGTCATCGTCTGCGGAGGTTAAACCCTGCAGCAGGCGGCGGTCGATGATGTCGGACGTAACGTACTGAAGCTGTGGACGAGGTGGGGGGTCGTACGCAGCTACAGTCGACAGTCGGCGTAGCGACGGCGAGCATCGAAGACGCCACAACGAGCGTTGCATTATTGGTGACGGGACGCTGGAAATATTGTTTTAGAACGCTAATTTCTTCAAGCACGAAATTAACGTATTCAGTATAACAGTAATAAATATAGCATTTTCGCGCTGTTTAACTCGCTTTGCTATCCGTCGTTAAGGAATGCAGTGGATTTTATCAAACACCTGCTTTATGTTAAAGTCTAAAAGTCGGCAAAGTACTTGGCATCGTCTTCCGGGTCGATACTTTCAGCACTGGACAAGCTTTCTCTAGCCCCACCTTGGCCTGGAGAAGTACGAATTCGAGCTGGGTTGTAGTCTTTGTTGAAATCATACGGTACTGCCATCGAATCCGTGACACCCTCTTTCGACTCGAGCAACGCCCAGTTGATGTCATTGAACCACATATGGTTCATCACCTGCAAGTCAATAGAGTTACCAACGAGCTTTCCTTCAGACGTAATACGAGAGCATATTCAGCTGTACCTCGACTGCCCCGTTTTTCCCAAGCCGCTCTCGAGGATTAATCTGTAGCAATGCACTAATATTTGCATTGTGAACGCCACACACATACAATTGTGTAAGCAGTTTCAGCAGCAATGGATGAATTACCGTATCAATGAATGTAGATCAGGGCTCAATGATCTTGCAAGCGTCTCAACTTGTCCGTCCGAAGTCTCGAATGGAGATTCCGCTGAACACTTAATCCGCATGAAATACTGCTCCATTGTGCTGTCAGCCGGACACTGATACTCCCACGGTGGCCGCCCAACTACCATTTCATAGATAGCGACACCCAGACTCCTGTAGTAATGAATATAAACTTTAGGATCTCATCAGTTATCGGTCAATCTACATTTCACGTACCACCAGTCAACACCGAAGGCATAAGACTCCTTGAAAAACATTTCTGGCGCCATCACGTAGTGAGTGCCGCACACCGACTGTGTTCGTCCAGAGTAGTCGTCGACTTTTCCATCTGCGACAACCTTTTTGGACAACCCGAAGTCTATTACCTTGACAAATCCACTCTTCCCCACCAGCACATTTCCACTCTTAAAATCTCGATGAACGTATCCTTGCGCGTGCAGATCTCGCAGCGCCAAGACCAGTTGCACCGCGAAAAACTTGGCTACGTGTTCCGGGAACCTCCCGGTGTCTCTGTACTTCCAAATACACTCGTACAGCGCTCGTCCTTCGATGTATTCCTGCAAAAAAGACACTTCATCCGTCGTTTCAATAACCTGAAAGCCTCGACACAGGAACGGGCTCTTGATTTTGAGCAAAATCGACTTTTCCGCATCCAGACGCAATTTCTGCTGTTCTGTGACGATCTTTGCTCTTGGAATTCTTTTTATGGCTGCACCAAACAAACAAGACGATTATGGTGATGATGCGTCACGCGATATGCCATTCGAATTGTAGCAATTGCAGCACTCTACCAAAGAGCTGGGTCGAATATCTTTGTCGAACGAGAAATACACTGGACATTCAAGTGGTAGTCAATCTAGATCGTACCCTGAAAACACTTAGTTGTAGCCATTATACTATTGAGTACGATGGCGACTGTGTTCAGTGCTTACCTGGCGTAGCCGCCACGGCCAAGGAATAGGAGCTGTTCGAAGTCGTCCATGCTGGAAGATCGCAAAATAATTAGCTCGATCCGAAAATAAGAACTATTTTCGTTTCGCAGAGAATTTAATCCATAAGAACAATAATTGCTCCAAAAATAAATTCATTGTTTTTATTTTTATTTGCTAAAAGCGAAAAGCTGCAGAAAAAATATTTTTTTATTTAATATGGCGGCAGCATGCGGAGAGGCGTTACTGCAACCACAATACGACAAGACGACAGGAAATAATGCAACCTTATCTCCTAAAGCGACCACAAAAACATATGGTCTCTGGTAATTTATAATAAATGACGTGGCCACGTCGTCGCCGTCATCAATAGCAGTGTAAATAACGCCACAACATCCTAAATTTAGAGTTATTGAAACAGCATTAAATGCGCGTGCACCACACCTGGGTGTGTTTCTTACACTACACTGTGTGGAACACAATTTTTCACACTGAGCAAATATTTCAAGGATCCAACATCGCAGCAAGGATGGACGGAAGGTCGCTCGCTCGGGAGCTGGTGCGCGCGCGCATCTACGAGCCCATGGACATGAAGAACACGCTTGAAAAGATCGGCGCAAGCCTCGAGAAGATACTAATAGCTCAGATGGAGTTACTGTCACGCATTATGGTGAGCGAGGAGAGCATCTACGTGCTGGCGTCTGAGATTGCCAATTCTGGTGCGAGTCATGACGGGCACCTATCCTTCGAAGCTTTGCTAGAAATGGCAGTCAACAGATTGAATGGGTAGTATGGTAGTATGCTAGCGGTTTTTGTATTAACGGATAACACAGCTACATCTACCTACTTCAGTTGCTTGAGCAGTTTCTCATTAATAGACTTCGTATTATCCACAGTGCGACGAGCCATACGGCTCTTGCTCGATTTACAGAGTATTTTCCACAGCATTCGGAGACGCATAGCTTCCACATCACTCTTGGAAACGTTTCTGCATTGCCAGCGAAGATTCGCGGTCACATAGCTGTAAGCTTGGGCCACAACAAACACGCCACAGCTTGAGTAGTCGGGTTGCTGTGGAACTTCAATCCACTCAATAGGGTCTATGCATAATTTTGCCGCAGGTGCCGATGCCTTACTCCATCTCGGCCACAAAACCACAAAGCCCTCCCATAACTGAGTTACCATCGCCGTCCCTTAACACCGGTTCCAAACCACCTCCCATGTCCCCCATGATACCCTTCGTCAATCAGGGGCTCATACAGGTAGGGATGCACATGTAATGTGTCCTTGGCTTCAACGTAGCGTAACGTAGTTATTATAATACCCCAGTGGCTTTGGTTCAGGTTGACAGGTTGAATCATGAACTTGGTAGAAGTGATACGCGTGTTTGGTGTCTTTGGCCATCCAACAGCTGTTGTCAATGATGACAGGACGTAGCAATCCCGCATCGTGCTTCCAATGAATTCCAAACAGAAGTCAATTGGGCTATCATTCAGCCATCCTCTACAGAGTCCACCAACAACGTTTTCGAAGGCGATGCAGGCCTTACCCGACCGTGTCGTGTATTCAGAACTCAGTCGACTGGATGCAAACTTTGAAATCACCTCGTTTGCCATGGTGCAGTGTCGCCCCTTTACAGCATCAACTGATAGCCCACTCGTTTCAGTCTCCACAGCAAATAGATCCACATCGGAGTTTACCTTCCGCCAGTTTTTCTCCAACCATTTCCGATCTTCGAACCCATGCTTGTACCTTGGCCTTTACCGCGTAGAATGTAATTGCAGCTCCCACGTATTGTCTAGTACAAATCACAGCTCACAGTTATAGCAACCCACAATATGACGACCATAAAAAGCAACCATACGAGAATGAAAACCTTACCCGCTGAATTTCCAAAGTTCGGGGTCGATAGAAGCCACGAGATCGAGCACGATTCCTTGTTTCTTGATGCGGTCGTCGAGTGGATCTGGGTGACGTTGCTCGGACTTAGCTGTCTTGATTGAAGCTTGCATTGACCGCGTGATGTCTCCAGGGATTACAAATGGGTGCATGTACGTAGCTGGTCGTACAGCTTCCCAGCTGCATTCGATTGTGCGACCCCTGAGGTACGCATCGTCTAGTTGGACAGGGTATTTGTCTATCATGCCCGCCACAGCTCTGACATTCTCTGTGTTGCGAGCCCAAACGACAAACTCGTCAAGCTGTACGGTAAGATCGCTAGGGTATTTGTGCACGGCGAGACGAGTATGAACTGAGGTAAGCTTTGTCTGTCTTAGCTGCTTCGGATTTGATCGTTGTCTCCCTCGGGTCTTCGGCTTTGGGACGTTTATGATATCCACTTGCCGCGTAGGCATCGCTGGGTCGGTAGTTGGATGTACAGCAGATTCACCAACCTCACAATTTTCGACTTTCTTGTAATCAACTGCATTCTCGTAATCATCTGCATTCTTGTTATCAGCTTCATCTGTGATGGACACCGGCGATTGTGCCTTGCTCACGATTATAGGCTTCTGTGACATTTCTATAGCTTTCTGCGTTGATGGGACGTCCTCACAGTCGCTGCTACCGTCAGTGTTGGCATCCATATCTTGTAGCCCCTCCATAATACTAGCAGTGACCACTGCATTTTCAAAATCAAACAAAGAACCCATGTCTTCATCAACGTCTTCATCGTTGTTGTTGTCTCTACACGGAGTCGAAGCCACTTTCCTCCCTCGTAATCCAACTTCAACGGTATCTTTCCAATCTTGAAGTTCTCGATAAAAATCAGCACTGGCCAATTCGGACAGATGCTGGAGCAGTGGCTCTAGCATTGCCTTTGCGTAAGAGTACTTTTCACCAGATGTCAGCACAACTTGGTTTGCACGTTCGTCCCGGCGCAATCGAACAAATACAACCTCTTTCTCACTATCGGATGCCGCATGTGATTGTTTCCATTCGAAAGGACGTGAAATCTTCGTACACGTTCGGCAACTTTAACTTTGACATATTGACAATTGGTTGAAGCGCATCGGCTGCTAAACAGAGCTCTTCTCTGGTGTCCAACGCGTCGAAAGTACTCCATCGTTCGTGGACAGAGATTCCAGGTAGCACATTGAAACCATGGCCATGGCTGGCAACATGCATGAGATGACAGCACGGTAAGTGGTGGCTTGTATAAAATAAGCAGGTACAGGTCCACTCAACGTCGTCACACTCGTATTTGTGATGACCTCCATAAACATCCCATTTCGAAACGGATACTTTGCGCTCGCAATTTGTACTTTCAGCTCGGTTCACGAATTTTTCCCATTCTCTTTTCACCAGATCCAACACAAACGGAGAGAGCCTCCTTGATATGGCCCTTAAAAATGTAGGAACCGTCTTGGGCAATCGAGAGGAAGAATGCTGTTTCCCGATTTCAGATGTAATCTGCCGCGTGATGATCATCTGGTGCTGGAGTAAACCCGCCAACGTCTTGTCAATTCTGGTCTTGAGGCCAAGAAGCATCTTCAAGTATTTCCAGTTACACTCGATCCTGATAGTTGTCGTATTACCAGCAGTAAAATGTTTTTCGCGTTCATAGTTCGACCACATTTGTCGACACGAATGCCAATTTTTCTCAAAATATGCAAAGAAGTTGCTCCTCCTTGACTTTTTGCAGTATTTCTTCATTGCATCATATGCAGATACATACGCGTCTTGTGCGCGGCTGCCAGTAACCACAACAAATGAGTGAAAAGGCAAAAGAGAAATTTGCTGACTGTAACGCACCAATACAGCATCTTCGTCAGCAACTCGATAAGTTCTTCTCTCTGTGCCATCTTGAGCTCAAATACTTTGCGTTTCATCACCTTTTTCCAGTATGTAAGGGCGTGGAATTGACAGAGTAGCACCTGGGCGGTTGGAAAGCACTCCTCTAGCACTTGCCACTCTACAAAATCTTTGTCGATAACCACACTCGTGACGTCTTTCCACTTTGGATTTTTGTCCTTGAAAGATTCCAAGATCGTTTTAATCGTGACAGCGTTCTCACTGAGGCAAATAAAGTCAGCCACTAAGAACCCTCTACCCGTACACGTAGTGACAACCAAGCTCCCTACACAACAGTAGCAACCAAATGAGATTCAAGGTTGTTGTAAACAATTAAGGTTGCGCTTAAGGTTGCTATAAACATAAGGTTGCTTTTCTGAACGTACCTAAATGGTAGCCAAGATTGTTCGTTCCGTGCGTGAAGTCCATCGTCAAGGTTTCACCCCACCGCTCAAACATCATCTTTTGCACTTTCGTTTGCATGATGGCTCCACAGGTGATGTCCATCTGGTCCTGGATAACGAGCACATCGCTACCTTCAATCTGTCGAAGAGCATGCAGCAAGGCTTTCATACGATCCTGAGCGGAATCTGGCCCCATGATACTTCGGAGAAGATTTCTGGTTTGCTGTGGTGTCACTTTACAATCTTTACAGCGAAGACATTGCATACCAGTCGGTTAGATTGAATAATACCACCCATAATAAAAAATGAACAACTATCCCATGCGGTCGTTCAAGAAATTGGTGATGTGGGTAGAAGAAACATGCGCATCTGCCAATGTTTTCACATCCTCCAGATCTTGTTCGTCCAGCGGCAGCGTCGCCGTTGTCAAGTAGCTTGAAGCTTGTGTTCTGCTGTTGTCGTGCGAGTGGGTATGGTTCTGAAACAGCAACAAGTTTATAGATGTCAGCCGGATTCTTTATCACGCACACATTAATAATAAGTCTCGAACCTGGTTTCGTAGAACGATTTCGTAGTGATTGCCCGAAACGCGACTCACGGTGGCCGTTAACCGTGCTGTGCATTTGCAGTACCGCTGCTTTCGATTGCGATGCCCCTTGGACCTTGATTTTTGGGATACACCGTGAGTGCACCCGGTAGATTCTTTCCGAATACTCAAACGAAAGTAGGGATTTGTGCTTGATGCGCGCTATATTAAAACAAAATAAGAGCATTCCTTTTCATGAATATATTTAGACAGATCACACCAGTAAAACAAGCGTACGTGTTGTAAGACGCCGTTCGTTCGGAGCTCCGCACACGAAACTTTAAATTCTTCTTCTCCATGTATTTCTTGAACTCCTTTTCAAAATCAATCCACGACAAAAGTGGTGCCTTCGGCCTGAACGGCTCCACCACGTTCACTATTTCGTCCTCACCACCACCGTTCATGGAGTCCATCTCTTCTAGGTGCTTACTTTTTCGGATTCTAGGCGTGTAATCTGCAGTGGATTTGGGCAGGCGTGTAAGTCTGGATCGCTCACGCTGTGTACCTTCCGCCGGACCCGACTGTCTCCGAATTTTCTGCTTCTTGGAGGGACGCGGCAGCGACTGCAGGTGTGGTGACTCGCGGATTAACTTCTCTTTCTTCGTAGAGGCTAAAATAACAAATTAAATATAAAATTACCTTCGCTAAATCAACCACAACCGCTTTAAAGCAACTTTACCTGCGTGTGTCTTCTCGTTTCTCTTTTTCTTTGTCTTCTTGCGTTGCACACGAGCTGCAAAACACACCCCAATGTTAATATAAGTAATTGCCCATCGCAAAAAATTAACATGACAGCAAACGTGCGTACCAGCGCTCAATGATAGATCACTCTTTGACTCCGAAAAGGAATCTTCCCCTTCCGCGTTGCTGCCCTCCTCGCCCGCAGACGCATCCTCGTCTCTGCTATCATCGCTACTGCTGTCGTTGGCGTATTCGATGCCAATTACCGCATACAGATCTCGCAGCCTCGTACGTCCTCGCCAGTCTACGGATTCGCACATAAGGTCAAACTAACTTTTGCTGCGTCAGGCGCAAGTACTGCAGTACGTACCAGGCTTGGCCGCGTCCTGCGCACGACTCATGGGTCTTCAGTTGCGTCAGCGTCGGGTGTGGAGCTCGTGTTCCTGGCGCAGCCGCGCGTTCTTCTCGCTCCCGCGCAATTTCTGAAATGGGAGGCTCAGAATGATCGTATTTAAAACGAATCGAACTTAAAAGAGCAGATACGTACCTAAGACGGAAGCGTTTTTTTTGGATTTTAGTTTCGCAGGTAATTTATGAATTTGGGTAGCGCAACCATAAAGTCTTTAAAACGACCATAAATGTCTCAATTTACGGTTGCGGTAATCACTCCGCAGCATGCGCAAGGAGATTGCAATGCTGGAGAGCGACCCACCATTCGGTACCTATCCTGAGTCTCACCACCATATTTTACACTTTATCTTGCGCCTTTAAAGTAGTATATATCTCCATTCGTTCCAAATCGCGCATTGAAGGTATCAGCGAGTGGTTAAAAGACGACCAGATCGACCACCTGGAAGCGCGTACGCCAATTTCTCACACGTTAACATTCATTGAGGGTAATATTCATATTTTTTGCTAACGTTGTGATGCTGCACAGAAATTCTTGGTCCGGATGGGTCTCCGTATGAGAAGGGGGTGTTTCAGCTGGAGATCGAAATCCCAGAACGGTTGGCAGCTGTCGCTTAAGCTATTACCTCCTACCTGTTTCTTATGATGAAATTCTGTCGTTGGATAGGTACCCATTTGAGCCGCCGAAGGTTCGCTTCGTGACGCCTATCTACCACCCAAACATCGACGATGCAGGCAGAATTTGCCTCGACACACTCAAGATGCAGCCCAAGGCGAGAAAGCACATCAATATTATTGTGGACGATGGCTGTTTAAGCAGGGTTCCTGGCTGCCGTCGGTCAATATCAGTACGCTGTTGACGACGATTCGTCTGCTCATGGCGGAGCCGAATGCAGATGACGGGCTGATGCGGGAGATCGTACGAATTTGTGACGGTTCTTTGACTAATGTTTCATGTTCTGTTGGATCGATGAATTTGTGCTTCAATGTAACTCCGTAGGGCTCAATCACAAGCTGTTTAACAGAAAACGCAACCGAGATGACTGCGCAGCATGCATGCAATACACCAGTGAGCCAGCCAAAGCCTTCAGCTAAGACAACAAATGCTTTGTCTGGAGAAGACCAAATGGAAAGCGAAGAGCGACGGCCTGGACTGAGGGAGCTTTTGAGAAGGCGGGTGAGGCTGCCAGCTTGGTGGGACCACTCCTTTGGTGGGAACACATAACTGAATATATTCCGTTTAAGTGGAAAGGCTATCTGCATTATGCAGCATCCGGGCTGGAGGTTAAACAACGTGAAAAACTACCAGTAGGCTACTGGTAGTTTTGCTACTGAGTAGCGGTAGCAACCTTCAAACGTTGAGTCGTGACACGACGACGTCGAGAGGGCCTTTGATCTGCAGCGTAATCGACGGGCGATAAGTAAAGTCGAAAGGGTCTTTCACCGTCTTAAAGTCGAACTGACTCAAGAGCTTGGCAAGTGTGATTTTCACCTCTGCCAGCGCAAACTTCATACCCAGACAAATGCGAGGCCCACCGAAGAAAACACTGAACTTGAAAGGCGACACCACCTTGATCTTCCCCGAAACGGAGTCAATCCAGCGTTCCGGTTTGAATTCGTCGGCATCAGGACCCCATACAGTCGTCATCCGCCCCAAACAGTAGTGAGGCAGTACGATTCGCGTCCCTGCCTTGATGAACGTGCCCTCGTAGAGACGCACATCCCTCGTAGCGGAGCGTCCAGACACAGCAACAACGGGGAAGAGTCTTAGTGTCTCTCGGACAACAGCTTCTAGGTAGACGAGCTGCTGAATGTCCTCCAGTTTTGGAGAGTGAATTTTGCCACTCGCGAGGTCTGGAAGTTTGTCTTTGATCTCTTGTCGGACGTGCTTCAACACCTTGGAGTATCTATTCAGCATCAAGATAACCCACGCCATGGTCGTCGCCGTCGTCTCCCGTCCAGCTGCTAGGAAGCTGATGACGAAGTCGCGCATCAACTTATGGTCCTTCTTCGTGTGCACACCCTTGGTGTACTCAACCTCAGACTTCTCAATAAACAACGTGATGAGGTCTTTTCGAGCGGTTTCTTTCGCCCCCTGTCGATTCTTCTCCTCAATCGAGCGAGAGATCACCCCGTACACCAGATCGTCCACTGCCTTGACGTCTTCAGCCAGTTGCTTCTCGGCGCCAACGTTAAGCCAGCGCAGTAGCTTCCAAGTCCACATTGGCTGCTGGATCCGCTTCAGCAACTGCGCAGACATTCGCCCGAATGAATCGAGCAGCTCTGCGTTCTGGTTCGACCCGACGCCATGGAGATCCACATCAAACCCGACCTTGGCAAAGATGTCCATAGTGTACAAGTCCAAGAGCCGCTTGATGTTCACAACTCTCTCACTTTCCTTTTCCTGAAGACAAATCCCGTCAAGTCGCTTCACCAATTGTTCGCCCTTTTCAGGCACAACAACTTCCATTGCGTACTGCATCATTTGCGCGGTGAACAAGTGGCTCGCAGTCTTGCGTTGGTGCTGCCATAGTGGCCCACTGACAGCAAAGATCCCTTGACCCAGCACGTCGTACAAGGCTTCCGAGACAAGCGGGCTCTTGTCAAACGCGTCGAACTGCGTCTTCTGAATATCCTCGAACGCTTCAGGACAGCAGAGTACGATCGCCGGGTATTTCCCCACGACCCGTAGACTCCATGGCTTGCCCTCATACTTGCGGCAGTACTTAAGAGCCCAGTCGATAAAATTCCCCGATCTCTGCGCCTTGATAATCTCCAAAGTATGGCGAAGGATCGGATAGTCTCCCTCTGGCGTCGGTAGGTGCTTCAGAGCTCGGTCATGGGCAGACGGTGTCGCCAAGTACACGAGCAGCACCGCCACGCAGGACAGAGCGACCGAAGCAGGTGTCACCCACGTCGTCATAGCCTCGAGCTTCATCTTGGCCCCGTCCCGGTGGTCACGAAATGACAAAAAGAAAATGACAGGTGGGTAAAATGATTTTAGAGTAAGGTTGCGCTGGATGTTACGTTTTTAACATCCAGTCACGCTGTCCACGACAAAAATCCCTGTGAAAGGGTGGAGACTTTGATAAACACGTCATAAACGTCCTCCATGGCTTTTGGGAAGCTCAGAACGACAGTTGGAGGATGGCAAGGCACAAGAACGCGCCATGGCATGCTCTCGACATTGCTCCGAGATCCAGTCGTAGATACTGGTCTGTTGTTTGATAATCAGCCCAACGTATTCTTGATCACCGGCAGCGTGCTTGGGGCACCCAATGGAAGGCGCCGCGTCTTGATCGGTTGGAAACGTGAGATAGACCACCGCAGCAGCCACGAGCGACGCTGTGATAACAAAAGGCAGTATCAAAAGAGTTCTAAATTATACGCGGCAAGACGAAGAATAAGGAGAGGAAGTGTCCGTCATTGATACACGAACCGAAGGGCACTAGGTGCGTACTGCATTTTCGAAGCTTCGACCTAACGGTGCAGCTTACATGCTGCAGTTTAACACTGAAGAGTCTTTGGTGTTAAACTGCAACATTGAAAGTCTTCGGCGAAGACTAATTGATTTTCCAGTATGAAAGACTGCGAGTGTGACCATCTTAAGTTATCCTTCGGTTTGACGCACGTTGTGGGTGCTCGAAAACAGCAAGGAGCGCTCGCGCCGTAGAGCCTTTACTCGAGGTGCCGACCTTCGGTTGGTTTGCCAGTTTTCTATTCGCTAGCAACAGATAAAGTGCCGATTTTCAAGCCTCGATTCCAACCGCAATGTGGAATGCGCTCGAGTTTGCACTAAACGTCTCACTGACGTCGTGGGGAGCTTTGTTATGCTCACTATTAGTTGGTTGGTACTTCGTGTCTTCAAAGAAACAAGCGAGATGGCTAGTCAAGTTCCCACGTCCGGAATCGACTCTCCCAGTCCTGGGGAACACGCTCGACTTGATGTTCAAGCACCGACATGACATTCACGACTGGATCCTCGACGAGTGTCGGCGGTATGAAGGACGTCCATGGGCCCTCACCGCCCTTGGTCGCCCGACGAGCATCGTTCTCTCCAACGTCGAGGCGTTCGAGGACGTTTTCCATCGTAAGTTCGACAAGTTCGGCAAGTGTAGTGCCTGGCTAGTAAGTGACGTGTTTGGCGACGGCATCTTCGCAGCTGACGGGGTGTCGTGGATTCATCAACGCAAGACAGCGAGTCACCTCTTTTCGCTGCACATGATGCGAGAAAGCATGGAGCAAGTAGTGCGAGAGCAAGCTGCCGTTCTGTGTGAAACACTGGAAGCACATTCCACTGCCAACAAGCCCGCCAATCTCAAGTATACAATGGATTGGTACGCCACCAATGTCTTCACCCGCGTGGGCTTCGGTGTCGATCTGCAGTCGCTATCGAGTCAGGAACACGACGAGTTCTTCCGTGCCTTCACCCGCCTTCCTATTGCTGTCCATCGTCGCATTCAACAACCAGGATGGCTGTGGAGATTTAAGCGGGCGTTCAATCTGGGTTACGAGAAGCAGCTGAGACTCGACATGAAGCGTGTGGATGGTGTCATCTACCAAGTCATCTCGCAGTCCATGGAGTCAAAGACCAACGTCAATAACTCGCAGCGTCTTCCCGACTTGATTTCACTATTCCTTGCCAAAGAAACCAACGAGTATCGACACCAACAAGACGGCTCTACCACTCATAGTGTCAAGACTTCGCCCAAATTGATTCGAGATATGGCGTTCAACTTCACCGCAGCAGGTCGAGGAACCACGTCGCAGAGTTTGCAATGGTTCTTCATCATGATGAGTCGATATCCCCATGTTGAGAAGAAGATCCGAGAAGAATTGCTGACCAAGCTGCCTCATCTTTTTGACAAGAGTAGTAAGCCTCCAACCATGAGCGGCGTGCAGCAGCTCATCTACCTGGAAGCGGCCATCAAGGAAAGTCTCCGACTGAACCCGGTAGCTCCACTCATCGGTCGCACTGCTACTCAAGACGTTCACTTCAGTGACGGGACGTTTATCCCAACTGGGACGCGTGTGGTCATTCCGACATTCGCTGTCGCTCGGCTGCAGTCCATTTGGGGTGAAGACGCAGCCGAGTTCAAGCCCGAACGCTGGCTTGATCCTCACTCTGGCAAGCTTCTGGTCGTATCACCGTTTAAGTTCTTGGTGTTTCTGGCGGGACCAAGATCGTGTCTGGGAGCCAAGCTGGCCATGCTCGAGCTCAAGGTCGCTCTGGCGACGGTGCTGAGTAAATTTCACCTTCGGGTGATGCGAAATCCATTCGAAATTGGCTACGACGCGTCCATTTCATTGCCAGTCAAGGGCGACGTGCTCGCTGTCGTGGAAGCCGTTGAAGTACCAGGTCCGTGCGAACCTGCTCAGAAGGGATTCGCTGGTGCTGCTTAGTCATGATGACGCATTCCTTTTTGTCACTGTAAACCTGCACCAAGTCCACTGATGCATTCTGTCCACAGAGAAACACAACTGACATGTCACTATCAAAACATTCATCATTAAATGTGTACCTTTGCACTCATCAACATTTCTATGCTCTCCATTATTTACCACATAAATCGCGCAGTTGATCCATCGACCCAGGTATACGGGTGGTACAGGAAGATGTACAGCGTTAACGCATTGACAGCCATGTATACAGCCGTCACTATCCACAACTGGCACGCGGATTGCTGCAATAACACAGGGTAGATGAGTCCTTTGCCACGATTAAGTTAGCATAGTGTATTTGACTTACATTGCTTGTGTTCAAGTGGAGGAGAATGAAAGGAACGCAGTAGTATCGTGGCCTATCCAAACACACGTGGCAGGTAAGTTTCCAGAGCAACCTCACTGTAAAATGTTGTTGTTTAGTGCTACACGTACTCGACAAGAGGTGATGGAATGAGGACCAAGCACACAGCGAGCGCGTAGACAAGTTTCCACAGCGACGAGCGTCTCCGACCTGCAGGCACGCAAATAGTTTGTTAATAGTGTTCTACACACACAGAAGTGTACATGAAACTCGTACCGAGTTCATCCCAGCAACGCCAACCGAAAAACAAGTACAGCGGTGTAGGGAGAAACTTGGCCATCTTGTGCTTCAGGAAGAATTTCCGCCACACGTAGAACGTGTAATGTCGATTGTCTGCCAACATGAACTTGTGCACGGGGCTAAAGCGGTATATGACCCCGATGGTCACTACAGCCACAAAAATCATGAAGAGAGCACCTCGCAACGAGCCAGCATTCCGGCGGACCGAGCCGAAGAATCTCTTGAGATTGCGAGGCGCGATGAGGCTGAGTCCGAAGCCAGATGCTGCCACTACAATGAAGTACAGCACCTGGGCTCCATGGAACGTCATCTCGTGATTGGCTTTATCCCCTGCACAGGAAGACCAACAACATAATCAGTGACATCCCTGTAACTAGCAGCAAAGTAGACTCTGGGTAGCCAGGGTTGATCTGCTTCCATGCTTACCCACAACGATGCCACCGTTCGTCAACAGGAAGCCGACAAAGCCTGCCACGATGATGACGAACGGCCACACGATCAGAAGAATGGACGGGAGATTGGAGATCAAGACGCTGATGAAGTTGAGGAACACGCGAAGAGAGCTGCACAAAAAGTTCAGTGACGTTAAGCATTCTGGGCTGCGCAGTATCTGCATAGCCATTCTACCTGTGTGTGACAATGGACGCAGTGCCACTGACGCTGACATCCTCTCTCAATGATCTGCCGTGATGGTCCATTTCAGCAAAAGATTCTTATCAGGCGAACCAGGGCCAGGTTACGTACCCGTAGATGAATTTTGAGTGAGCAAGCTCCACACAGCGAACCACAACAGTGCCAGCCACAAAGACCACCCAGACGATGTTCGTCTGACGGAAAAGCACCGCCACCGCTCCACTCTATAAGAAGCCGAAACATCTAACGTCAAACATGCGTACTAATACGAAAGAGAGTGCTTGCGAAACGCACCAAGGCGCTGAGCATGAAGCTTCCTCTCGCTGGTGGATACTGCAACAGGTCCACCCTCTCCGCCAGCAGCGCCATCAATAGCACAAAGAACGTCGCCCCTCCGTCCGTGTAAAACAAGAAGGTAAAAAAAAATAGCGGTGGGAGCACTGCAATGCGCAGTGCATGCAGAAGTGCATGGGGGTCTAGTGGCGCCACGTGGTGTCTGATCGACGCGCACAGTACGACGTTCCCCACCGCAAATAACACGTTCACACTTCGCAGTACTGCTACAGAGCAGAAGTCGTCCGTATTGAACGTCGAAGCAAGTTTTGCGTACAGCGTTGACACTAAATACAGTCCGGGAAATGTTGTGATCTTGGGGTCCCATTCATCTAGTGAAGGCCACAAGTTAGCCAAGTAGGACATGAACGTAAAGCCCGGACCACATTGCACCGAATCGTCCTTCACAGTACTTCTGGGCTTGTGAGATATGGAAAATCTCGTCCTGTCGGTAGGAAGAGAAATCAAAATGGTCCGAAGCGAGAGAAGAGAATGACGCGGATCAGCTTACCATGTAGGGGTCAGGAGCTGTTCTGTTTACTGTTATGAGTAGACAAGAGAATAGCAGGCCTGTGGCGGCAGCCACGGGGAGAATGGGGGCGGGGGAGTGCGGCAGGACGGCGACGGAGCCGCCAGCAGCAGCGATCGTCATGGCACTTGATCACGGACACTTTTTTCTATTGTTAAGGCTACGTGCACCACATGAAACATATGACGACAGCTGTCCTCCGACCTAACAAAAATACAGATGAGCCCTTCGGTAGTCATATCGTCGGGAACCATCTTTTAGTTATTCCCTTAGCTGAGGGCATTCTTGTTGCGGGGTGGCTCAGCCAGGTGTATGGTACATTTACAGAAGCCAAAACAAACGCACGCTACCATTCCTTGCGTTTGCAGTCCTCCCAGAGTCTCTCTTTCAACCCGCACCATGCTCACCAATGCTCATCGCTTGCAAATTTACCAGCATCATGCCACCCACCCCAACCTATCACAACAACATCAAGCCGAGTGGGCTCATTCAACTTTGTCGGGGTTCCGAAAATGTTATTTTTATTAAATATTATTTTTTATTCTGTAGTAAAATAATTTATTTGCGAGCTCCCATTTCAAAATCAAATAATTTATTCCGCGCTCTCTCCAGGCAATAACCTTTAACCGAGCTCGATGGAGCCCTACGGACCAGCGGTCCAGCTGAACCGCAATCTTCAATTGATCTGCCGCGCTCTTGCCCTCTCATTTTGATGGTTGGTCGCTGAGACTCCGCGAGAGCCACCTGCTGTAACGCTGCCACAGTCCGGAAGCTTGTGCGTGGTGAGGCTCCTAACAACTAGACGAGTATCAGCTCACTGTATATTGCACAATAGCACCAATAATTTTTGCACCAGTGGTGCTCCAAACACTTAAAGTTAGTTGTATTGTTGTTTTGCCAGTCTCAATAAAAATAACATTTTCGGAACCTCTGGTTGCAGCAGCGCCATCTCAAGGAGCAATTACTACGCTATTGAAACGTTAGAAGGCATCATATTTTGTTAAGTTTTCAAGACACTACTCGATTACTATGCGTATGAATAAAGTGAGCCAGAAGAGGAAGTCCCCATCACCGAGCTGCAATGCTGTCACGCCTACATGCGTCCGATCCGATGTCGGTGACGGAACTGTCGAACCCACCAGATGAGAGTGTGTACGACGGCTGCATTGATTGAGAGTTCTGCGAAGTTGAGGTGGAGGGCGTTCCCGCGAGTAATAACTCGATGAATGCCTCCGAGAATACTGGAGGCGAGGAAAAGAATTATTATGTAGAGCTCAATTCTGCGGATAGTGAGAAGCACCCTAAAGTGGACCGCATTCGAGCAGATTTAGCGGGCGAAGTGAGCAGGGGCTTAGAGCGATGTGTTGGACATTGATGTAAGAGCCAGCCAACAGACAGGCGACCGGAAGCCAGACCCCCAAGGACCTTTACGCAAGTGTCGAGTCGACAATGTTGAAGGTACGACATTTTGACTTGGTTTCACTATTGGGACCAATCAGATCGAGTGCAGGCGCGTGTCTTTTCAGGTTATTGTGTAGTGTGCATGTAGAATCCAGCTAAAAAAACTTCTTTGGATATATTTCTTACTTTCACTTCTACCTTCTGCCGAGCAAGTGCCAAACCAACAGGTTTTGAGCCCAATGGTCAACAACTCAGACGCAGACGCTGCTACGGAGGCAGTCCCCGCCTCCCCCGCCGCCCACGAAAGGGGCGAAGAGCATCACGAATAGAAGGTCACGCCGGACGCTGGAGCGCTCGCGGCTCTCATCACTAAGCTCACGGCCAAAGTGGACAGCTTAGAGCGGTCGCTGGAGACGCACCAGCAGCGTGCGGCCGTCACGCCACCCGGTGCGGGGGCTGGGCTGGGCCAGAGCGTGTACCGTCAGGCACTGCAGCACGAAGGCAGCTTCGGCATGCAGCGCATGCAGCTGCATGAGCTCGGCGCGTCGAGCTTTGGCATGGGTGCGCAGACGCCTGGGGTGTATGGTGGTCTTGGTGCTGGGCAACAAGCAGGAGGCACACCGCTCCAGGTCCAAGAAGCAGTTCAACAGACGCCACAGCAGCAGCAACCAGCTGCGCAGTACCAAGCACATCGACCTTCGCCGCTGCATCTCAACGAGAGAGTGCCGCCTGCCAAGGATGCGAAGTTCTTCATGCGAAACTTTGACGGCAGCGAGGTCTACAAGGGATTTGGGAGCGGCTTCGAGCAGTGGGCGCTGCTGTTCATTGAGCAGATCGAGATGGCGGAGCAGGCGTGTGGCTACGCCTGGCCTGAGCGCTACAAGGTGAACAAGTTCGGCCAGCACCTACGTGGTAAAGCTGAGCTCTTCTTCCAGCAGCACATCATGCGCTGGTGGGCCACGCAGCCGACGCTCTGGTTTGTGATGGATCAGATGCACTTGTCGTTCAAGCGGGCGCTCTCGACGCAACAAAGAATGAAGCTCTTTGGCGCGAAGAAGGACCCGTCGCGATCGTGGAATGAGCACTTCTTGTACTTGAATGCTCTCATGATGGCAACGAACGCGTCACCAACGCTAGTGCTGGAGAACATCGTCAAGTACGCGGATCCGAACTTGAGGCACGCCTTGATGGCCAAGTGTGACATCACGCGACCGGATCCTCTCCAACAAGCGAACGAACTGGTCGTTTGGGCACAGATGATGACCAATGAAGATCGAGCGCCAAAGCATCTTGGTAAGGAAGTCGTGAGCGCAGTGGCTGAGTCCCAAGAGGAAACACGGCAATACCACAAGTGCAAAAAGGCTGGACACCTGAAGAAGAACTGCCCGGATCGTTCCGCTGGAAGCAACAAGGACCAGCCAGTAAAGTTCGCACTTGCCGCCGGTAACGACTTAAAGTCCGTGGAAGCTACGAGCTGGATTTTGGACAGCGGTACCAGCCGACATCTTGTCAATGATCCTGCGCTACTGGCTAACGTAGTGCAGTGCTCTGATGAGGACACATGCATGTTACCGGATGGTCGAACGATGGACGTAGCCAAGAAAGGATCGGTGATTTTGATAGCTATTGTCGACGAAGTCGCGGCTGAGGTGGAGCTCAGTGAGGTCTACTACGCCCCGAAACTCGCGCAGACCCTGATTTCATACGGACGGCTGATAGCGAAGGGATGCTCTCTCTCCAAGCGTAACGGAAAGTTGGCGCTGATGAAAAGCAACGAAGTGGTATTCTATGTCGACGTAAAGCACAACCTGCTTGTGGCTAGACTTGAATCGGTAGCTACGAACAATGCTAAGATGGAGCAGCTGATCATGAACGTGGTGGACACGAGTACGGACACAGCCTCGCCGGTCACACGTTGATGGGCTTCCATGCATGTTTCGGTCACTTGGCGTTGGACACCGGCAAATGACCCCGCATCCGGCATCAAGATATCGAATCGTGACCGTAAGCCCTGCATGGTTTGTGCTGAGGGTAAACAGACTCGAGCGAATCAACCGACTAAGGGTAACGGGGAACATGCACCGATCGACAAAGTCGGAGGAGTCATCTGCAGTGACCTGAAGGGTCCCATGACGCCACTTGACGGCCAAGGTAACCGCTACATGGTTAACTTCGTGGACCACAAGTCGAGCTACTGCAAGGTGTTCACGGCAAAGAAGAAGAACCTGGCTGCAAAGAAGTTCGAGGACTTTCTTGTCGAGTTCGAAAAACGGTTCGACGTTCGCGTGCATGTTCTCCGCACGGACGGTGGAGGAGAGTCCCGAAACGTGGATCTCTTCTGCAAAGAAAACGGAGTGGCTCGTCAGGTGTCAGAAGTCGGTAATCAAGCTGCAAAAGGCAAGGCGGAGCGCATGCATCGCACGGTTCTCAACATGGCTCGTTGCATGGTGTTCGGTGCACGATTGTCGCTGAACTTCTGGGGTGACGCCGCTGAGTACGCGACGTACGTGCTGAACCGGAGCTCGTCACGCGCTAACGAGGATCGGAAGTCGCCACTCGAAGTGCTGACTGGCGATGCACCAAACCTTTGCGACATTGTCATGTTTGGATCAAAGTGCTCTGTGTTTCGTGACCCTGGAAAGCGCGCCATGAAGAAGAGGGCGTGTGAGGGCGTCGTCGTCGGCAAGGACGAGTTGACCAAGGTGTACAAGGTGTATTTGCCCTCGGAGAGCAAGGTGATCGTCACGAGGCATGTGCAGAACATCCGCGCGTTGGAGGAGAAATCCGATGTGAAGACACCGGCCGCTCAATCTCCCACGACAACGACGCCACCGGCACCACGTTCCACACCACGAAGATCTCGTCGCTCACGCCGCAAGTCGTGCCGCCGTGCTGAAGCTGAAGGAGACGTGGAGGTTGACGAGTCGAGGCTGAACACTGAACCTGTGGCTTTGACCGTATCCGAAGTTGAGGATGTCAATTCCCACGCTGATGACCCGGAACCGAAGAACTACAGGCAGGCGCGGAAGTACGCCGAGAGCGCGCTTTGGGGGGCAGCTGAAAAGGAAGAACTTGAAGCTCTCCAGGCGAATAACACGTGGAAGCTGGTCAAGTCCGAGCCTGGAAGCATTCGCTTGCATACTAAGTGGGTGTACAAGAAGAAACGAACAGGCACGGGTTTGATCGAGCGGTACAAGGCTCGACTAGTCGCCTGTGACAACGAGCAAAAGTCCGGCGTTAACTTCTTTCTCGTGTTTGCGGCTGTGATTACCATGACTGGTGTCAAGTTCATCTTCGTCATGGCGATCATATGGAAGGTACCTGCCAGACACAGCGACGTTCTAAACGCGTATGTAAAGGCGAAAACGGAGGAGGGATATCGAGATTTTGCTGCTCGTCCCCGACGGACTCGTTATCACGGAGGAAGAGCTGAAGACGCTCGGAGCTGAGAGCGTGGATGAAGTTGGCCTACTTCTTGGTCAGAGCCTTTGCGGTCTGAAACAAGCAGGACGCCTTTGGCATGAGCACCTTCATCGCGAACTGGTCAAGCTTGGGTTCATCCAGGGCATTACGGACGCGTGTCGGTACTTCAAGGCTGACAGCGGCGGAAAACGGTCGTCGGAACGTACGTGGATGACCTGCTGGTTACTGGCACGGACGAGAACAGGGTTTACCAGTTCTTCGCTGACATATCCGTCCTGGAGCTCAAGGATCTCGATGTT